TAAAATCGGCATATTTGATTCCACTTCTGACACCAATTGTTACGAGCTTGGGGTTCAAGATAATTAAAAACTGCCGAGTGAATTACCAAAATTGACTATTTAATTACACAACACTAATTATAACTTAAAATCACACTAATAATAAAACACAGTTCGCCGTTATTTCGCTTCGAAGTATTCTCTTGTATCGCCAATTCAATACTGCCCCGGTCGTGGTCTATACCGGCCTTATATAGGGCCTCAGATGTTTCCAGAACCTTTTACTGTAGCGACATCTAGAATGTTCGAGTACATATCGGTCCCGAAATTTCTGGAAGGATCTAGACTCTCCTAGTTCTGCTACTCGACACTAGAGGGCGCTAGTGTAACTAGTGTTGCCATGTACAAGGCATTAATAGTGGCGCGCAATACTTTCATTTACTCGACACTAGGGGGCGCTAGTGTAACTAGTGTTGCCATGTACAAGACATTAATAGTGGCGCGCAACAATAATGTAACTTAGTCCATTATCGATATTTCCGTTGAAATATTTGACTTCAATATTGTAGCAGTGAAAACTAAAAATATAACTTTAGTTTCTATTTATGTTTCCTCTCCATCCATTCATACGTTCTCGTCGCAATAAATCTAGAAGTGCCGTAGATTTATTTTAATTTGCAATCCAGAATTTACCTCTCTTTTAAATTGGATAGTTTTAGATAGCTGCCACGGCAGTGATAATTTTACTATTCCGATTTCTCTTCCAAATAAAGGATCGGCAGCAAACAAGAAAAAACCATGTATATATTGTTACGAGCTTGGGGTTCGAGACAATTAAAAACTGCCGATTGAATTACCAAAATTGACACTTTAATTACACAACACTAATTACAATCTAAAATCACACTAATAATAAAACACAGTTCGCCGTTATTTCGCTTAGAAGTATTCTCTTGTATCGCCAATTCAATGATGCCTCGGTCGTGGTCTATACCGGCCTTATATAGGGCCTCAGATGTTTCCAGAACCTTTTACTGTAGCGACATCTAGAATGTTCGAGTACATATCGGTCCCGAAATTTCTGGAAGGATCTAGACTCTCCTAGTTCTGCTACTCGACACTAGAGGGCGCTAGTGTAACTAGTGTTGCCATGTACAAGGCATTAATAGTGGCGCGCAACACTTTCATTTACTCGACACTAGGGGGCGCTAGTGTAACTAGTGTTGCCATGTACAAGACATTAATAGTGGCGCGCAACACTGCCCCCTCCTAAGACATGCTCGTCCCGGGCATTATTGGCCCCATAATAACGCGCCAGTCGATCCACATGAACAATCTTAGGAGTACCTCTGGCATCTTTCTGTATCCGGTAGGTTACGTCATTGATCCTTGTCACAATCCGGTACGGTCCGTCCTATTTAGCTTGAAGCTTAGGAGATTTCCCTTTGCTGCGAACTGGATTGTGTAACCACACTAGTGAACCTTTATCAAACCCCTTGTTGTTCATTTTGCGGTCATACCGTGTTTTCATCTTCTCAGACGTTTACTGGCCCGTCTGTCTGACGTGCTCATAAATGTCATTCATTTTGTTCCGCAAGTCATTTGCATAATCGGTTATACTGCGTGGGGCATCAGGTGGTATTCCGGTGATCTGGTCTGCAGGCAGCCGCAATTCTCTCCCAAAGTTTGCGAAAGCTGGCGTCACTGATGTACTTTCGTGAACAGCGCTTCGATATGACAACAAAAACGGTTGTATGTGCCTGTCCCAGTCTCGTTGCCGTTTTTCCACAACTTTTGCCAGGTACCTTTCCAATGTCTGATTAAATCGTTCTACCATTCCATCAGATTGTGGGTGGTAAGAAGTTGTTCGTGTTTTATGAGTACCCATAACTCTGCAAGTTTCCTGGAATATTTGAGACTCGAAATTCCTTCCTTGATCGCTGTGAATCTCTAAGGGTACTCCAAAACGACAGAAGACTTCATGAACTAGTTTATCTGCAACTGTTGAAGATTCTTGATTTGGAATGGCGAAGACTTCTGGCCACTTAGTGAAGTAATCCATCACAACCATGAAATACTTGTTACCACTTTCACTTTCCGGAAACGGCCCCGCAACGTCAATGGCTATCCTCTCCCATGGTGCACCAACATTGTACAATTTTAATGCGCCTCTACTACGAATTTGAGGTCCCTTTACAGCCGCGCAACTTTTACATTTGCGGCACCAGTCCTCGACATCGTCACGACAGTGGACCCAGTAAAACCGTTCTCGGATCATCAGTAAAGTTCGTTTTACTCCCAGGTGGCCTCCTGAACAACCACTATGGTACAGCTGGAGAACATCCGGTACTTTGGCCTTAGGGACAACCATTTGCAAATGACAACTGTCTCCCCGACCATTTTCCCATTTACGTCACAGGACTCCATCCTGAATCAGCAAGCTGTCCCATTGGGCCCAATAGCTTTTCGTGGTCGAACTCATTGCTCAGACATCGCTCCACTTGGGCTTAGGAGCACTGGCCTTCATCCATTCCAGAATCGGCTTAATGTCCGAATCTTCCTGCTGTGCATGCTGTAGGCTGTCCTTCCACTCATTGCTGAGCTGGTCTGTCCTGAGCATTCTCACAGATACCACTTCCTTACCCTCTTGCCTAGTACAATGCTTGCAATCTTTAGGGCAAAGTCTTCTTGACAATACATCTGCGTTGCCATGAGATTTCCCGCTGCGCTGGGCGGTGCTGTTAGCCGCACTACCTTCTCGAAATCGATCACCTTCCCTTTCCACCGTTCGCTTAGGGCAGCTGGATCGAAGATGGCCCCTTTGCCCACAGCCGTAGCACCTAGGGCGGTAGCCGTTATTGCGGTCCCGAACTGTAACTGCTGCAACCTCCCTGACGCGGTAGGAACGATGATCCTGTCTCACGACTTCCACCTCCAGTGCATGGGTCAAGGCGTCCTTAAGCGTCTCGTGGTGCCCGAGCCTAACAGCAGCTCTGACTTCAAGGTCGCGGATGCCGTCGATGAATGTCTGCACCAGGTTCCCTACAATGAGCGCAGGTACAGACTGGTACGCTTTTCGAACCAGCTTCTCCACCTCAAGGGCCCATTGCTGCAGGTTTTCATTACTGCGTTGCACGCGATCTTTGAGCTGCGCACGAAAGACGTGTTCCAGGTGAGCATCGCCGTATCTCGCCTCCAATGCCTCAAGGAGCTGCTCGTAAGTCATTTCCGTACCGAGAGCTTCCAGAACAGTTAAGGCCTGGTCACGTAGGCCTAGGGTGAGAGCAGTCATGGCCTGATTTTTATTCCAGCCGTTCGCTTTCATGACAGCCTCGAACTGGATTTTGTAGGCCGACCAGGAAAAACTCCGCGTTTTCTTCACATCAGCCATCACGTTGTCAACCCGATTGTTCACTTGGTCGATTCGGGTTTCAGCTTCCGACAGGCGGTTGTCATGTTGAGCAACCCTATCCTTCACCTCCTTTATCTCTTTTCCGAAGGTAGCGTGAAGGTCTTTCCTGAGGAGCATCTGCTCTTCCATACCGCGCTGCAGCTGCTCTTCCAACCGACGGGCCTGTTCCTCCTGTCGGCGGGCCTGTGCCTCCTGCCTGTGTGATCCTGCAGCATCATCATCAGAGCACCTAAGTCAGGTGCTGCAGATGCAGGAGCTGCTGACGGGCCGGCCTCCGTGGTTAGCAGCTGGCCCTCCGACGTTTGCGGCGTTGCATTACCAAATCGTCTCTGGTCCGTCTCCTGTTGGCGTTGACTTCGGGTACGGATACCCTCCGTGTCGTCTTTAGGTAAAATCGGCATATTTGATTCCACTTCTGACACCAATTGTTACGAGCTTGGGGTTCAAGATAATTAAAAACTGCCGAGTGAATTACCAAAATTGACTATTTAATTACACAACACTAATTATAACTTAAAATCACACTAATAATAAAACACAGTTCGCCGTTATTTCGCTTCGAAGTATTCTCTTGTATCGCCAATTCAATACTGCCCCGGTCGTGGTCTATACCGGCCTTATATAGGGCCTCAGATGTTTCCAGAACCTTTTACTGTAGCGACATCTAGAATGTTCGAGTACATATCGGTCCCGAAATTTCTGGAAGGATCTAGACTCTCCTAGTTCTGCTACTCGACACTAGAGGGCGCTAGTGTAACTAGTGTTGCCATGTACAAGGCATTAATAGTGGCGCGCAATACTTTCATTTACTCGACACTAGGGGGCGCTAGTGTAACTAGTGTTGCCATGTACAAGACATTAATAGTGGCGCGCAACAATAATGTAACTTAGTCCATTATCGATATTTCCGTTGAAATATTTGACTTCAATATTGTAGCAGTGAAAACTAAAAATATAACTTTAGTTTCTATTTATGTTTCCTCTCCATCCATTCATACGTTCTCGTCGCAATAAATCTAGAAGTGCCGTAGATTTATTTTAATTTGCAATCCAGAATTTACCTCTCTTTTAAATTGGATAGTTTTAGATAGCTGCCACGGCAGTGATAATTTTACTATTCCGATTTCTCTTCCAAATAAAGGATCGGCAGCAAACAAGAAAAAACCATGTATATATTGTTACGAGCTTGGGGTTCGAGACAATTAAAAACTGCCGATTGAATTACCAAAATTGACACTTTAATTACACAACACTAATTACAATCTAAAATCACACTAATAATAAAACACAGTTCGCCGTTATTTCGCTTAGAAGTATTCTCTTGTATCGCCAATTCAATGATGCCTCGGTCGTGGTCTATACCGGCCCTATATAGGGCCTCAGATAGTTTCCAGAATCTTCTACTGTAGCGACATCTAGAATGTTCGAGTACATATCGGTCCCGAAATTTCTGGAAGGATCTTGACTCTCCTAGTCCTGCTACTCGACACTAGAGGGCGCTAGTGTAACTAGTGTTGCCATGTACAAGACATTAATAGTGGCGCGCAATACTTTCATTTACTCGACACTAGAGGGCACTAGTGTAACTAGTGTTGCCATGTACAAGACATTAATAGTGGCGCGCAACACTGCCCCCTCCTAAGACATGCTCGTCCCGAGCATTATTGGCCCCATAATAACGCGCCAGTCGATCCATATGGACAATCTTAGGAGTACCTCTGGCACCTTTCTGTATCCGGTAGGTTACATCATTGATCCTTGTCACAATCCGGTACGGTCCGTCCCATTTAGCTTGAAGCTTAGGAGATCTCCCTTTACTGCGAACTGGATTGTGTAACCACACTAGTGAACCTTCATCAAACCCCTTGTTGTTCATTTTGCGGTCATACCGTGTTTTCATCTTCTCAGACGTTTGCTGGCCCGTCTGTCTGACGTGCTCATAAATGTTATTCATTTTGTTCCGCAAGTCATTTGCATAATCGGTTATACTGCGTGGGGCATCAGGTGGTATTCCGGTGATCAGGTCTGCAGGCAGCCGTAATTCTCTCCCAAAGTTTGCGAAAGCTGGCGTCACTGACGTACTTTCGTGAACAGCGCTTCGATATGACAACAAAAACGGTTGTATGTGCCTGCCCCAGTCTCGTTGCCGTTTTTCCACAACTTTTGCCAGGTACCTTTCCAATGTCTGATTAAATCGTTCTACCATTCCATCAGATTGTGGGTGGTAAGAAGTTGTTCGTGTTTTATGAGTACCCATAACTCTGCAAGTTTCCTGGAATATTTGAGACTCGAAATTCCTTCCTTGATCGCTGTGAATCTCTAAAGGTACTCCAAAACGACAGAAGACTTCATGAACTAGTTTATCTGCAATTGTTGAAGCTTCTTGATTTGGAATGGCGAAGACTTCTGGCCACTTAGTGAAGTAATCCATCACAACCATGAAATACTTGTTACCACTTTCACTTTCCGGAAACGGCCCCGCAACGTCAATGGGTATCCTCTCCCATGGTGCGCCAATATTGTACAATTTCAATGCGCCTCTACTACGAATTTGAGGTCCCTTTACAGCCGCACAACTTGTACATTTGCGGCACCAGTCCTCGACATCGTCACGACAGTGGACCCAGTAAAACCGTTCTCGGATTTTCAGTAGAGTTCGTTTAACTCCCAGGTGGCCTCCTGAACAACCACTATCGTACAGCTGTAGAACATCCGGTACTTTAGCCTTAGGGACAACCATTTGCAAATGACAACTGTCTCCCCGACCATTTTCCCATTTACGTCACAGGACTCCATCCTGAATCAGCAAGCTGTCCCATTGGGCCCAATAGCTTTTCGTGGTCGAACTCATTGCTGAGACGTCGCTCCACTTGGGCTTAGGAGCACTGGCCTTCATCCATTCCAGAATCGGCTTAATATTCGAATCTTCCTGCTGTGCATGTTGTAGGCTGTCCTTCCACTCATTGCTGAGCTGGTCTGTCCTGAGCATCCTCACAGATACCACTTCCTTACCCTCTTGCCTAGTACAATGCTTGCAATCTTCAGGGCAAGGTCTTCTTGACAATGCATCTGCATTGCCATGAGATTTCCCGCTGCGATGTTCGATCACAAAGTCGTATTCCTGCAGTAGTTCAATCCATCTCGCAACTTGTCCTTCCGGATTTTTGAACTGCAATAGCCATTTCAGTGCAGCATGGTCAGTTCGTAAGTGGAATTTCCGCCCTAGAAGATATTTGCTAAAATGCTGCAAGGACTTTACCACAGCAAGCAATTCGCGTCTTGTGACACAGTAGTTCCTTTCCGGCTTTGACAATGACTTGCTGAAGTACGCTATCACAATCTCTTTGTCACCATTCCGTTGAGACAACACACCGCCAAGTCCTATATCACTTGCGTCTGTGTCAACTATGAATTCCTTGCCCGCATCAGGGTACCCCAAAATAGGTGTTTTGCACAGACGGTTCTTGAGCTCCTGGAATGCAATAGCGCAACTTTCATCCCAACAGAAATGTTGCTTCTCCTCGGTTAGCTTGTGCAGAGGTTTGGCTATATCTGCAAAGTTCTTCACAAATCGCCGATAATAAGAGCACAAACCCAAAAATGCTCTAACCTGTGTCTTGTCTTTTGAAACCGGCCACTCTTTGACAGCGGCAATTTTTTCTGGATCCGTGCGGATACCTTCTTCCGACACTACATACCCCAAAAAACTAACTTGCCGTTTGACTAGTAAGCACTTCTTTGGACTCAACTTGAGGTTGGCACTCTGGATCTTCATGAGCACGCGTTCCAGGTTTTGAAGGTGTTCCTCAAACGTACGGCCTACGAAGATGATGTCATCCAAATAGACCAGACAGGCATCTCCAATTAGCCCGGTAAGTACAAGCTCCATCAATCTTTCAAACGTTGCTGGAGCATTGCACAATCCAAACGGCATGACTTTAAATTGCCACAGACCCTTTCCAGTAGAGAATGCAGTTTTCTCCTTGTCCTTAGGGTCAATTTCAACCTGCCAGTAGCCACTTTTCAGGTCCAGCGTACTAAACCACTTTACGCCTGTGAGCATGTCCAGCGTGTCATCCATTCTAGGCAAGGGATAGCTGTCCTTCTTCGTAACGTCGTTCAGGCGGCGGTAGTCAACACAAAACCGCATGCTGCCGTCCTTCTTCTTTACCAGCACCACAGGTGAACACCATGGACTAGATGAAGGTTCAATAACACCATCCTTCGCCATTCCCTCAATCATGGTTTCCACTTCCTTTTCACGTGCTACAGGCAATCTTCTTGGCCGCTGACGAATAGGCAATTCTTGTCCTGTGTTTATTTTGTGTTGAACTAAGCCAGTCTTTCCTATGTCAGCTTCGTTTGACGAGAAAACATTGGCGTACTTGAGTAACAACTTCTTCGCCTTGACCATTTCATTCGGAGAGAGAACGCTGCGACAGTCTTCTAAAAGTGTGGTCACTCTCGTTTGTCCATCCTTGCTAGGGGTCCTGGTCGATAGATATTCGCACCGACGCAACCAATCCACTTCCTCACTAGTACCAACCAATGTGCCTTTTTCTATAATCTGTTCCTGATCACAAAGGTTCAACACACGTACTCCTGAGATGTCGGTGGTTCTGACCAAGGTTCGAGCCACCTTCCATGGAAGGTCATTGTCTACCCTTTCCTCGAGTACACAACGATGAGCTTGCCCAGGACTCCGAGGAAGACTAACCGGCACAATCGTTTCCGATCTCGGCGGAAGAACAATCTTCTTAAGGCTGTACACATTCCCTGGTAACGCCCCTTCCATGAAAAGTTCCTCTTGTCCACATTTCAAAACACCTTGCTTATCGTCGATCTCACAACAATTCTTCCTCATAAAGTCTAGGCCCAGGATGCAGTCGTCCATTATATCAGCCACGATGACATTATGCAGGTAGATCATGTTGCCTAGCTTCAACTCCATCTCCTTCTCTCCACGGACGGGTATGCGCTGACCAGTGGCTGTTACCAAATTAATGCGTTCTCGGTTGTATGCGGAGTCCCCAAAGAACCGACTTATAAGTTGGGAACTGACAACCGTGCGAGAGGCTCCAGTGTCTATGGTCAGTTTACACGGCGTTCCGTTGACTTCGCCCTTGATGATTAGGCTGTTCCCATCATGGGTTTGTGAGATCGAAATCCTTGGGGCTCTTTTAACATCAGCCAGCACCCGCCCCGCAGTCCTGGCTTTTACTCGCTTCCCTGCTGCTGCTGGGCGGTGCTATTAGCCGCACTACCCTCTCGTGATCGATCACCTTCCCTTTCTACAGTTCGCTTAGGGCAGCTGGATCGAAGATGGCCCCTTTCTCCACAGCCGTAGCACCTAGGGCTGTAGCTTTTATTGCGGTCCTGAAATGTAGCTGCTGCAACCTCCCTGACGCGGTGGGAACGATGATCCTGCCGCACGGCTTCCACTTCCAGTGCATGGGTCAAGGCGTCCTTAAGCGTCTCGTGGTGCCCGAGCCTCACAGCAGCTCTGACTTCAAGGTCGCGGATGCCGTCGATGAATGTCTGCACCAGATTCCCTACAATAAGCGCAGGTACAGAATGGTACGCTTTTCGAACCAGCTTCTCCACCTCAAGGGCCCACTGCTGCAGGTTTTCGTTACTGCGTTGCACGTGATCTTTGAGCTGCGCACGAAAGACGTGTTCCAGGTGAGCGTCGCCATATCTCGCCTCCAATGCCTCAAGGAGCTGCTCGTAAGTCACTTCCTTACCGTGAGCTTCCAGAACAGTTAATGCCTGGTCGCGCAGGCCTAGGGTGAGAGCAGTCATGGCCTGACTTTTATTCCAGCCGTTCGCTTTCATGACAGCCTCTAACTGGATTTTGTAGGCCGAACAGGAAGAAGTCCCGTCGAACGGTGGCACTTTGAATCCACGTAGCGAAGGTGTTGTAGCTACCACGGGAGCTGTAACTCCATCCCCAATTTTGAGGTCGTTCAGCGTTTTCTTCACGTCAGCCATCACAATGTCAACCCGATTGTACACTTGGTCGATTCGGGTTTCAGCTTCCGACAGGCGGTTGTCATATTGAGCAACCTGATCCTTCACCTCCCTTATTTCTTTCCCGAAGGTAGCGTGAAGGTCCTTCATGAGAAGTATCTGCTCTTCCTTATCGCGTTTGAGCTGCTCTTCCAACCGACGGCCCTGTTCCTCCTGTTGGCGGGCTTGTTCCTCCTGTCCGCGCTGCAGCTGCTCTTCCAACCGACAAGCCTGTTCCTCCTGTCGGCGGGCCTGTTCCTCCTGTCGGCGAGCTTGTTCCTGCAGCATTATCATCAGAGTACCTAAGTCAGGTGCTGCAGATGCAGGAGCTGCTGACGGGCCGGCCTCCGTGGTCGGCAACTGGCCTGCCGACGTCTGTGACGTTGCACCACCAAATCGTCTCTGGTCCGTCTCCTGTTGGCGTTGACTTCGGGTACGGATACCCTCGGTGTCGTCTTTAGGTAAAATCGGCATATATGATCCCACTTCTGACACCAATTGTTACGAGCTTGGGGTTCGAGACAATTAAAAACTGCCGATTGAATTACCAAAATTGACACTTTAATTACACAACACTAATTACAATCTAAAATCACACTAATAATAAAACACAGTTCGCCGTTATTTCGCTTCGAAGTATTCTCTTGTATCACCAATTCAATACTGCCTCGGTCGTGGTTTATACCGGCCTTATATAGGGCCTCAGATAGTTTCCAGAATCTTCTACTGTAGCGACATCTACAATGTTCGAGTACATATCGGTCCCGAAATTTCTGAAAGGATCTTGACTCTTCCTAGTTCTGCTACTCGACACTAGAGGGCGCTAGTGTAACTAGTGTTGCCATGTACAAGACTTTAATAGTGGCGCGCAATACTTTCATTTACTCGACACTAGAGGGCACTAGTGTAACTAGTGTTGCCATGTACAAGACATTAATAGTGGCGCGCAACAATATTATAAATTACTACACTATAATATATAAATTCGACAAAAAAGACGCACAACTAATAAGAAGTACTAGCGAAGACAGACTGTAACCTGTATAATATTTCTCGTTACGATGAAATTCTAAAAATGTCTCCTACTCGTATTTCTGAAAATAATTTGACGTCAATTGTAGAAGCATTTACCAACGCAATTATAAATGGAGCAGACCAAACAATTCCTATTAAAACACGAAATAATAAGTGCAAGCTCTCCCATTCATGGTGGCCATCCGTACCTAATAGAAAAAAACCCGAAAAACAATATAAATTAAACATGAGTTCGGAAAACTACTCATGCTTTCAATTTATACATTAAGAGATCAGAAATACTCTTTGCACTAAAATAGTCAAGTTGGCATTTCTTTTGTTCTCCATCAATAACTTCAAAAGATGTATGGTGCAATATAAGAAAATTTCGGTGTTGTTTTTCATCTTGTGTGCTATCCTTCTTAGTTAACAAATTATTTTCTAGACAAACTTGCCCCTTGCAACCTCAAAGTATTCCATCTGAATCTTTTTCAATCTCTTAGTGCCCATTCTTTCTATATGAATTAAAGCTTGTCTTTTCTCACTTTCGCGCGTGCGGTGGCGGGTGAAATTTGCGAGGTTTGATCCACAATCGCTGATACTCAGTGTTGGCTAATGTTGCAAACTTAGTGGATTTTTCACTAAAACTGGTGATTTCGACTACCCTCTAGCGGAGAAATATTGTTTATAGTGGCTAGTGTTTTACTAGTGGTTCAGTAGAATTAAGTTTCAATTAGTAGCAAGAACATCACTCCACTATTAACCAACTTACACGTTTCGAATTATATTTTTACTTATTTACAGAATTTACTTTTACTGTGTAGGCAACAATGATTAGTCAGACGAAGACAGGCCTGCCTTTTGAAATAAATGTTGTGAATTCAGAATCTTCTTTTTCTTCGAATTTTATTTTCTTCCTCTGCCAATAGGCAGGCTATTACAACAATTTTTTCGATAGCTTAATCAATGTAATCACCGATGTGAAACTATACAGTGATACTGATCGTTTGATCGACAGTCGACGAGTATCAACACGTGCCAAACACGCCGCATTATATGACGTCATAAGTACGTCTCCTTCAATATTCGGATACCTACCGCCAGACTAATATGATGCTTCCGCATCCTACCGCATTTTATAAAATACTGCGCGCACGTTGCGGGTGAAATGTGCGAGGTTTCATATGATTTCAAACAACCAATTCTAAAATGCGGCGCGTACGGCTATAGAATATAATAATTTTTTATTCAATATTGATTATTACATAATACTTATTGAAAGTTATTTTTTATTTACCACTGGTTCGGAAAATACCTCAGTCCTGGGAAGAACCAGCAAGAAACCCAGCGGGACTTTTTTTTAAACATAATTTCACTTAACAATAATTTTGTCTATACTATTTTTAACACGTTGAACGCCATAACGGACACCATGTGTCCGTCAGTACACTTTCTTCCGGGGCCGCACCATTAAATCACGAATCTTTCTAAAATTTTTGTGGTGTTTTTTTGCAAAAATTGTTAGGAAATAACTCAAAAATAATTGATGTTGTACAGAAACTGCGATATAAATATTATTTTCCGAGATGTCAAATGGCAGACACTAGTGTCCGTCGCGGCCTGCCAGAGCGTCCGACCGTCTTTTCGTGCGCGGACGCCGCGCGAGTCATACTGTCGGCTCCCACCTCGCGCTACGTCACACTCGCTCGCCCCAGCGCAGCGTTACGCGTCACTCGTTCATTTGCCTTTGCGCTTGCCTAGGAGAATGTTGTGTTTCTTTTCGCAAAATTAGGGTTCCGTGATCGTAACAAGTATTCTATTTTTTCGTCATGGATGTATTTGAAAACTTTGAAGTTACCGAAGAAGATTTAGCACAAATAGAAAACATTGAAATAAACTTATTGAATTCAAGTTTTCACATATCTTCAGAAGATGAGAAAAAAATATTTCAGCATTTCCGTCGAACAAACGTCGCCGCCGTATTATCCGCTCGGAAAGTAAGGACAGTGGATTAGAAAATATGACACCGGATTTGCCAGATCACACTCGAACTGATGGCGGTGGATGGGGACCGCCAGAAGGTAAACAACGTCGTTTGATTGCATTCACTGACATTTCGGGACCATCATACGCTGTTCGATCTACAATGGTAAATAAGTCTCCATCTGATTTCTATTCGCTTTTTGTCACTGACGATATGTTGCATTTTTTTGTTTCTGCAACTAACCAATACGCTATTGAGCAAATAACTATGAAACCTAACGCTTCTGCTGGTGCGCGAATCAAACAATGGGTTCCAACTAACTATACAGAGATGAAAAAATTCTTGGGCATGCTTCTCTTCATGGGTGTGGTCAAACTACCAAAATTATCGGATTATTGGTCGAAGGACGAAGTTATCGGTCATCCTTTTCCTAGAACTGCTATGTCACGTAACCGCTTCGAAATTCTGCTTCGCATGTTGCATTTTTCTGAAGATGACGAGAAAAACAAGGCCGATCGACTTCATCGTGTAAGGAAGCTAATGAACGATTTGAATGAGTGTTTTCGGCAACATTATACGGCAAATGAAGATATTTGTATCGATGATTTTATTTAGGCAGTATAATAAACAAAAGCGGCATAAGTATGGTGTCAAACTATTCAAGCTGTGCTCCATTCCTGGATATACACACAAAGTTAATATCTACGCTGGAAAAAACATGGACACTATAAACACAACACCCACAAATGTTGTGATGAATATGTGTGAAGGCTATTTTAACAGGAGGCATACTTTGCATACCGATAATTGGTATACCAGTATTGATTTGGCGCGAAGACTTTTGGAGAAGCAAACTCATCTTGTCGGGACAGTCAAGAAAAATAGGAGGGGGCTTTCTAAAAAAGAAACCAAAACGAAACTCAAGAAGGGCCATTACTGTGCGGAGGAGAGCCGAGATGGAATAACGGTGATGAAGTGGAAAGACAAGCGCGATGTTCTTGTTTTATCCACAAAGCACTCTGTGCGCTTCGTTGAGATCATAAAACGTGGACAGGTTGTGAAGAAGCCTCAAATCGTTTTGGAATACAATAAGGCCAAAGGAGGTGTGGATTTAGCAGACCAGATGGCTTCTTATTCAACTCCACTTCGCAAATCCATCCGATGGTACAAAAAAATTGCATTAGATATGCTTCTAAATATAGCTACGATCAATGCTCATGTTTTGTACGTCTGTAACCAAAACAAAAATAAAAGTAACAGATTTTAGAGTTGCAATTTTGAAATCATTCTGTGCTAAACAACAAGCAGATGAACCAGCCTTAACAAGACCGAAAAGACAGAAACATATTTTGGTGAAGTTAGACGGCCCATCAAGGATGACTAGACGAAATTGTGGGGAATGCTACAAAACGAATGTCAAAAACTTGGGTCGCTTACAAGCACGAAATAAGACGAAAAAAGTAAACACTTTTTGTAGCGTTTGTCCTGAAAAGCCAATTTTGTGCCATGACTGTTTCTTTAAACTGCATTTTTAGATTTTTGTTATATTTCTATATATCTTTGTATTTTTCTAAAGATAAGTTATGTTATTTCTAAGTATTTACATTTTCTAATTGAAGTGCTTTTTATCGAAGTCCATACATAGTGATTGTAGGTTGCTGATTTCAAGACTTTTATATATATTTTAAAGGTTTAACAATCGTTGTAATGCCACACATTTTGTAATATGTTTGTTGATCTCTTTAATTTTTTATTTTATCATCTTTTGTTACCAACAGGGTACCAATTAATCTACCTGTTCCGTTTTTAAAGTTAATTATTTTATTGTAATTATATCATTAGTTAATCTGATTAAACGATTGATCTCATTCTTTGCCATTAAACATTATATAAAAATATAATGACTTTGATTCATTTCAATTTTCAAATTATACATAATATATATATGAATGTATATGTTCAAATAAAAAAAATCCATTCTTTATTCACCTATATTGGATAAGTAAGCTAAATGAAACACAAGGTAAACCTTAATATTTTTCGTCACATCGTGTGTATATTATTGCCTACCGAACCCATTCCTTATTTGATACGAACTTGACGGAAAACGATTATAATAGTAACGACTTTCTAGAGCTTTAAAAATATTAAAAATTTTCGCCTTTCTAAATATAACATAACTCAATTGAACTTTTCAAAATACTTACTATAAGTACTTAAAACATTTTTGGGAACACCTTGTAAAAAAGTCCATAAATTCGACATCCTTTCGATTTTTTTTGTGCCAAGCGGCTAAACTGTACTATAGGGCCGCGCGGATCACTTGCCTTAGTAAAAATAGTCGAAACAGTATCCGTCGGCCGTCTAGAAGCCTTTGTAGTGATCGAGACCATGCGGACACACGGTGTCCGCCACGGCCCCCTGGACCCGACATATTGGTGGTCACAAGGTGTCCGCCGCGGCTCCCTGGACTAAATATGGTTTTTAGTGTGGCGTTCAACGTGTTAAATGATTTTTCATAGAACCAGCATGGTGGCGATCACCCTATTCCAAGGGGTTATTTTCATTCATGTATTCCTTGATATTATAATAAACCTTTTTGTACAGTTTTTCTTTAATAAAACTTAAACTTGTTTATTGACAAACTTTGAATATGTTTTTGTTGTATTGTGATTTTGTTGTAAAAGCGTATACATTGCCCCATAAATGAATTACTGATTCTGTGGAGTCTAGTAACTGGCATTACAAGCTTATGTTTGTTACTAGTATTTAAAGTATGCACATCCTTATTCTTATTAAAGCTATTTATGTTTTTATGCACATACATTACATTCTCATAAATATAATGCGATGCCAAAGTTAATGTTTATTTCTTTAAATTTTTCTCTGAGGGATTCTAAATATGAAATTTTTTTTATTTTGAAATTAATCAATGAATAGGACAACAATATGTTCAACGATTTATCATTTATTAGAAAAGCAATATAAATCCCATTACACAACTGCAGTTTCAATATTACATTACGGACAAACATATGAATCAGTTTTAAGGTATGAACAATAATGGTCAACCATCATCATTATCATCATTACAGCCTTTCATAAGTTCACTGTTGAACAAAGGCCTCCCCCAAGGAATGCCACTATGATTTAGCTATGTAAAAATCGGATCTAAGATTGGCAATTTGCCTTTATACGCCCTCTTTAATGTTGCTGATCATGATGAACGTGTCACAATAAAATACCAGATATAAGTTATAGCATATTTAATCAGGCTTTAACAGCATACACACGAGGTGGAAACAGAGACTTCTTCCTTATTTCCTTGCGCGTTTTTAATTTAGCTTCGTGCTTTGTAAGAGCCTTTCGCATAGCACGAGTCTTCTTGGGCCTGAGATCCAGTGGCTTGTACTTCTTATTTTTGTAATGGTTCCGAAGATTTACCTTCATTTTCTGATGGTATACAATGTAAACCCGAGCAATAGCCTTTCTTACAACTCGTCTGAAAAAGAAAAATCCAAAGTTAGAAACTATAGCATACTGCTTAAGTCAGATAAATTTATCATCATCATACATTATAAAACTATGGTATCTTAAAAATATATAGTTAAACACCATTAAAAAAGCTTTGCTTTGGTCCAACTTTTCGAGTTCACATTTATTTGAAGTTTTCAAATACTAATATGTAGGTAGGTACTATTAATTACTGTGAAACAGTTATAAGTGTTTGCTTTGCAAAGTAGTAATTTAAAACAAGATAAAAAATGTTAAAGGTGGCTAATGCCCGAAATACTGAAATGCAAATTAAATCTGTCACTTTATTAAAGATCCCCTATGTTTAAGCACCCCCCAAATTTATCTGAATATAGAAACATCACTCAAGTGATTTGAGGGCTTGATTAGTTGAGTAGCTTTCAAATGTTTAAGTCATGGTAACATTAATTTATAAAACTTTGTTCTTCCTGACAATTTTACGATATTTGAATTTAAATACTAAAACATCTTTGTTAAATACGTTATAAGCAACATCATCTGAAAGGGTTTAAATTATTTTTTGTTCGATTTGCTTTAAAATTATATTCAAAAATAATCTCCCAACAATACTTTAATTTTGAATGTGATTTGTGATTTTTTAAAATCACATTCAAACAGCTTTTGTCCACCCGATCCCTAAAAAAGGCGACCGCTCAGACCCGTCCAACTACAGGCCTATCGCCATCACCCCCTTGTTCTCCAAAATAATGGAATCCGTTATAAACTGCCACCTCATGCGGTACCTTGAGGATCACCAGCTGATTAGTGACCGCCAGTACGGTTTTCGTCGGGGTCGATCAGCTGGTGATCTTCTGGTCTACTTAACTCATAGATGGGTGGAGGCAGTAGAGTCCAAGGGGGAGGCATTGGCCGTTAGTTTGGACATTGCGAAGGCCTTCGATCGGGTTTGGCACAAAGCGCTTCTTTCGAAGCTCCCTTACTATGGGCTTCCCGAGAAATTAAGCAATTGAATCACCAGCTTTCTTGCAGATCGGAGCATCAAGGTCGTTTTAGATGGTGCATGCTCCGACTACAAGCCTATTAACGCTGGTGTTCCACAAGGCTGCGTACTATCACCAACGCTGTTTCTTCTGCATATCAATGATATGTTGTAAGCCGGTAGCATTCATTGCTATGCGGATGACAGCACTGGTGATGCTCTATACACCGGCCGTGCCAATATTTCTCGGGAAAACGTCACCGAGTACCGGAACAAACTTGTGTCTGAAGTCGAGTCTTTGCTGGGCAGTCTCGGATTGGGGGCGACTAAATCTAGTCCAGTTTAATCCTCAGAAGACACAAGTTTGCGCGTTTACCGCTAAAAAGAACCCCTTTGTCGTATCTCCTCATTTTCAAGGCACTCCCCTTCTTGCCTCAGCCACTCTCGGTATCCTCGGAGTTGACATATCGAGTGACGTGCAGTTTCGTGGTCACTTGGAAGAGAAGGCCAAATTAACCTCTAAAAAGCTTGGCGTGCTCAGCAGAGTGGGATAGTATCTCATGCCGGCTCAACACCTGCAACTTTACAAGGCGCAGGTTCGGCCTCACATGGAATACTGTTCCCATCTCTGGGCTGGGGCTCCCCAGTGCCAGCTCCTTCCACTTGAACGCATCCGGCGCAGAGCGGCTCGAATCGTCGACGACTGAGTCCTTTCCGATCGACTCGACTCATTGGCGCTGCGAAGAGATGTTGCATCTCTTTGCATTTTCTTTCGCATTTACCACGGGGAGTGCTCTGAGGAATTGTTCGGATTAAACCCAGCCGCCAAATTTCACGACCGCACATCGCGGCAGAACTCCCGATACCATCCACACCATCTGGATGATTGGCGGTCCACCACTGTGCGATTTAGAAGATGTTTTCTTCCTCGCACAACTTCCTTGTGGAATAGTTTACCACCAGCGATTTTTCCGGACCGATACGACTTAGGGACCTTCAAGAGCCTACTCCTTTTTAAAAGGCCGGCAACGCATCTGCAATTTCCCTGGTGTTGCGGTTGTTCATCGGCGGCTGTAGTCACTTACCATCAGGTGAGCCGCATGCTCGTTTGCCCCCTCTCCTTAAAAAAAAAATATTGTGCATAAAAAGTACATTTAAATCAAAGATAGTTTTTCGAAAATAGCTCCGTCTATCGTCCTAGAACGATTCGAGAATCTTAAAGTCCTGTGCTGTCAGTGTAAGTTTCTTTGACCGCGTTCAAGGATTTTTAAATGTTCAAATTAATATTTAATACATTTTGCAAATTTTATTTAAAGGCTAACTACAAATTATAGTTCAAAAGGATATTAAAAAGAGACGCGGATACAATTACAGTGTCTGAGAAAGACACTTTATTGAAATTGATAAAAAAGTAAGTAAATATTTAAATCATCCAATGAAACATAAATTACATTAACCAAATAGAATGCCCTTTATTAAATTGCGAATTAAATAAGTTGTTCATATTGTAAAACACGTGTTACATATTTTAGATATCAACATATAGAAAATAAAGAGAAGAACTCCCACATTATTTTGAAGAAACGACAAGCTTGGGATTGTGTGTGCAAGGAATATAACACTGTTGCAGTAAGCTGTGTCAGAATGTGGCAACAATTAAGACATCTTAATGAAAATCTCAAACAACGGTCTAAAAAGGATGTTGCCAAAGAAAATGTAATCTTTTATTTATCTTGGAGACCTTAAGTAGTCACGATATATTGTAGTCGTATTATTTAATAATCACTTTGATTTTAGATACTACAGTACAAAGAAAAAACGAAAGGGGCCCAAAAAAAGGCATCAATATATAAGGTAAATAGGCCATATATCTTCTAAGTTGCGTAAGTAGCGTCTAAGTTGTAAGCACATTTTTAATTTAAGAGCAATTATGTACACTTGGATTGCAAATAAATGATTTGATTTGATTTGAAAATAATTGATTAATTAAGTACCTATTAACTAATTTAGTTTTTTTTTATATAGAAAGAAATAACTTCTACTCGTGGGGGGGTCCATAAGTCAATTCTAACTCGGCAAGATGCTCAGATTTTAGCAATGGTTGCTCCACAAGTGCAACCACTGCAAAAAACATTTGATGATGCTGCATTTTATTTTGGTTAGATCGTTTATTTAATCCCTATAATTTAGATCTTTAATAAGAAATAAAATTAATTACTGTTGATCAGGTGACACAGAATTGATTTCTGAGAACATACAAACTATTTTAACAGTGAACGATATAAACAAGGATGACAGTGCTAATACCCGTAAATATTATACTACTATATTTTTTTAGATACATATTTGATTTTCATACCAATTTTAATTGTTAGAGAACCATCAAACACTTGTCAAACAATTATACTGAGCAGAACAATAATAGACCTCATACACTTAATTTTACTTTACTTTTCATCAATGGTGCATTATGGAATAAATTATTAATATATATTATGTGACATGAGTGAGGTCGAGTAATATTTTTTTTTTTTAGTGAAAAGTATCTAGATAAAAGTGATATTTTTGGTAATAAATAATATAAATATTCATATATAATGTTTTTAAACACTTTTTTAACCTTAGATAAACATTTTTAGCACACCAAACACCATGTAACAAAACTGAAATCACACGAAACCACTAAACAACAATATTTTAAAACATAACAAAAAAAAATTAAAAACATTCAAAAAATGCCAAAGTAGAAAATAAATATTTAATAAATAAAAACAAAATGGAGCTAAACAAATATAAATTTGAATCAAAAAAATTAAAACTACATAGGTTACAAGCTTCAGACCGAAAAAAAATTAGTTTATGTTACGAATATTTTATTTTATTACTGTGACATATTTATATTTAAGACTTTGATATTATATAATTTATACATTATGGGTGATTTCTGGATCTCGACAACAGTGCCAATCACCGGATCCAATTGTGAATTTAAACCATCCAGGGACTCAAAACAAAAAAAATCATCAAAATCGTTTCAGCCTTTTAGGAATGCAGTTATAAACACATATACAGAAGAATGATATTAAGTAGTAGTAGTAGTAGTAGTAATATAATTACCATATTTTCATGAATCTACACTATGATATAGCAAACTTTTGACTGATTATTGTTTTTATTATTTCTTATATTGTAAAGAATTGATGTTAAAATAAAAAAAAATTAACCAGAAAAATATGTATTTATTAATGAACACAATAAAGTACTGATTTATTTCAGTACTGCGTTGTACTATAATTTCTTCCTCTACAATAGTTAAAGGATCATCCTCTTCAACTACTTCATCCTGCCTTGAAATAGCAATATTGTGAAGTACTGCCCATGATAGGTGGAATATTGGTAGTCTTCAGCCCTAACCCATGGTAGAGACAGGGAAATCCTCTTTTAAGAACACCAAAGTCTTTCTATTGGATTTATAGTTCTAATTTGTGAATGGTTATATGCTTCTTCAGCTGGTGTCCTTGGATTTAAAATTGGGGTTAACAAATATAGCTCTTGATAAGAATAGCTTGATAAGACTACCGGGAGAATTAATTTTAACATGCATACAATCAATAGCACCCATCACTCTTGGAAATCCAGCAATTGCAAGTCATTTGCTACTTCTAGATGTTCCTCAGCAGTTGGTATATTTTTAAAAAGAGATCTCATATTAGCTATTTTTTTGTAACTCTGCACAATTCGATGCACAGAAGGTTGCTCAATGTGGAACATATGATCCCTATAACTTGTTGTTGAACTGCCTGTGGCGTAATACCGAAGGGTTATCAATATTTGATCCACGGGTTGCAAAGATCTATTTCTTTTTGTCAATGGTTTTATCGTGCTGCCGAATACAGAATCCAAGTACAACATCGTTTCTTTGGAAACTCACTCAAACTCAAACTTTTGGAAATTCTTTGTAGTCATATTTTTCAAGTGTTAAGCTTGATGTCATTTCTTCGACTTCCTGAAGGCGTTTCGTTGTCTGATAGAGAAGATTACGAAGAAACGGACATATTTAATACTTGAAAAATGCTTCTAACAGATTTGAGAGTCCTCTCAACCACACTCAATAATAACCAGTACTTAGATCCATTTGACATTTGATTTGACAGCTAAAACGAATTGAGTGATGTTTCAGTATACCATTTTTTAGTTGAGTATTGTTTAAGCGTGACTCAATTTGAGACAGACTTAAATTTAAGAGATGCTAAAAATTTAAATGTAAGAATATCAATATAGAGTTTATAGGCACTGCTCAAATGTTTGACAAGCCGTTAAATATTTGAGGATGTTGCAGTATTCAGACATAAGATAGTTACATATAACTTATCCACTATCTCTATACAGGGTTATTTTGCAATAACTGGCCAAATTTATTGCACTGCCTGTAATCTATTTTAAACATAATGATATTATTTTTCTGAAATATGGTTGATCTTTCTCTATAATACCTGCTCAATGCGGTTGAGATTATATAAATAAACCCAGATCTAAATTGCACTCCCAACCCTTAAAAAAACATTGGTTACATTCTGCTCTGTTTGACAATCATCGACAACATCACAACCTATGAAGAACAATTTATTTAAGGCCCACTACAATCGTCATAGCACAACACAATCCAAAAATCAGTGCTTTTCTGAAGAAGAAAATAATGACTTGCGTTTGGTAAATCCTAAACCCGATAGAGGCTTAATATTGAATGCACCTTGAGTCTAAAAAGTGGATTGTCTTAGAATAGGATCAACAGCAAATATTGGAATTACTGCATTCGAAGCATTAAGTTAATGCTTTTAGTATCGGTAGAAAGAAAAGAAAGATGCATGTAATACACACTCAATAAAAGAAGAAAAGTTCAGTAAGATAAATTCGAGAAGAAAACTGCTGTTAAATCATGGTTAGAAAAACTTATCAAAAAATGGAAATGAATAACCTGGAAAAAACTTCCGACCAGGATGTGACAATAAATTATAGCTTTTGAGACAAAAAACAACTTTTTAATACTATATTTTTTTTATAATAAGTGTAATAAATCCTAAAAATATTCATATTGCTTTATATTTGAAGATTATTGTTTTTGTTAATCTATGTAAGTCAGTAATAAAAATCTAATCAATTGAAAAGGTAATTAATTGCCTCTTACGTTTTTTTAAGGTAATTAATTGCCTCTTACGTTTTTTTGATTCCATTGTTATGTTAAATATTATTTTTTATTTTTTCTAATATATTAAATTAAAATTTTGTATGTCTGTTAACATTTAATTTTTTTTTAATTAATAATATTGTTCTAAATATGCCTTATATTGAGTTTTGGTATATTATACATCCCACAGTCTAACGTTTAAGTGGCACATAACTTCTTATATGTGCAAAAACACAACAAAGTAAAAAGAGATATTTGAAAAGTTAAGTAAATTTCGATCATAGTTTCAAAATATTGGAAGTATTATACTATAGCTAAAAACTACATTTATATTTATAGATACTAATTGCTAAAACAAACACAGGAATTGCTATATTCTTTAATGATAAATATTGATGTACAACCAGACAAGTGGTACATGTTTTACTTCTCATTTGTATAATAACGAAGTATTAGAAGACTATACTAATTTATAGCTAAAAGGAGTCACTCGTAATTTGCAAAATTGTATTTTAAACCACTTTGTCAAGTTTAATTGAAATCTGTTCAAGAAAATATTTAACTTTTAACCTTCAATCCTCCGTCCTGTAAAATTCACTTTTTGCAGTTGTCCATATTTACTTAGGAGCCATCGATATATTATACCCGGGTTGATTGAGAGAGAATGCCGAAAGGCATTAGGTTCACCATTTTAATCCTTTTTATGATTTTTTATTACAAACTACTTTACAATAGTAAATTAATATTTATTTTTCAAAATTGTCTTAATTAATACACTAAATTACATGATTAATTCATAAAATCGTTTCCTTATTTCCTTAGGAAGCCAAGTTTCATAATGATGATTAGAACAGAACTTAAATAGTGTGAAGAGAAGAGAACAACCTCTTGTTGGGCTTGTTTTATTATTATACACTGCATGGTCATTTGTTACCCTATCCATCATTTACTGTTTAACAAAGAAGTAAACACATTTTTGCTTTTATGTATTATGAGAATATAAATATGAGTACTCTTAAGCCTTATTTTTTTTACATATCAATACTTATTTTGAGCTCCCAACAGGTTCCAGTGCTTTGCGGAATGTTTATTTATTATTATAGATATTTTTCTTTGTTCTATAAAAGAGTAATTTACAAAGGAACTTGGACACTCCTGTGTTAAAGGATGTTATTCTTTCCTAGTGTAGTGGTGTTGGGAGTAGTGGTGCTGGTATTAGTGGTGACAGGGATTGTGCACACAATTGAGGGATGGTAGGAGGTGCTCTTCAAACTAGGTAAGACACATTTTATTTCATTAATCAGATATAGGCAAAGTAATTTATACCAGCTTTACTAAACTTTTATCTAAAACTATCGATTTCAGCAATTCAATATTTTAGTACTTATTTGATAAACCATTACTAACCTTCTCTTCCATAAAAATAAGAACGCGATAATTTAAGTTGCACTTATTAAAAATGAGCCTTAAGAAATATTATTATACAAGTTGAGAAACTTACATTTTAGAAAGCTTTGACGCCACTCCACCGGTAACCTTAGCAACTCGAAGGTTAGTTAATTCTGTTTTTAATTCTTCAAGCTGTTTGAAGAGTTCTTTTTTATCTTTGGTGCGCAACTCGGAGCACTTAACCTTACCCTAAAAATATACAAATTTCATGTACAAACTAAATATTTAACGCCGCAATAAAATCAATTAAACATTTAATATTTAGGTATATTACGCATAAATATTTTAATAGACATTATGAATAAAATATTAAATGCAATGGTAATTTATATGAAATAATATCTTTCCTTTTAGGTTAAAATATGCTGGAATTGAAATGTAAATATGAAGAGAAATATATATTTATAATATAATTTTATCATTTTGAGAATCTTTTGCTGCTTTAAAAATAGTAATTATATTGTCGATGATTAGTAATATTATGGATTAATAGAAAATAAGGCATACCATTTTGAAAAATTGAACCTCCTGTCACCACTGTTTTGACATAAAGAAATGGTAAACCGTAAAGTCAGTGTCAAATTGTTGTTGTTGTTGTTTTTATTATTTGCTCGAGTGAGCAGGCAAAGGAACTAAGCAATACAGCCTTGTCTTTTTTATTTTGAATATATAAAATTTTAAAGTGTAAAGGCCGGAACCAAGTCTTATTTTTCTTCTTTCCATCTCTTCAAAATCCATAAAGGCCGAAGTCAAGTCTTATTTTTTTTAATTCTTCATATTTTCAAAAACCCGTAAAGGCTAAAGCCAAGTCTTCTTTATATTATATTCTTTGTAGGTTTCAATCCGTGTAGATTTGTCAAATATGTCTTAGTATTCCTAAGATCATCTTGCAGGGCACGCGGGACGCTTTCTGAGTTTTCATAAACTTGTATAAGTTTTTCAATGAGTAGCAATCATTCAATGGCGTACGCTGGGCAGTTAAATATTATATGTTCTGCAGTCTGATCTGCTTCTGTATCGCAGAAATTGCATGTTGCAGATGCTACTATTCTCATCCTGGAAAGATGAGCGTTCAGTCGATAGTGGTGAGCGTTAAATCTAAGTCTGCACATTATTGTATAAAATTTTCTGCTATGATATCTCTCGTTGCGAGAAAACCAAGGAATACTTAATTCTAAATTAATTGATGCATACCAACGACCTTTTCCTGCCTCTAAAACAGCATTCCATTGCATTTTCCATTCTTCTTTTAACATTTTCTTTAAAATTGAATATAAATCTGTATGTGGTATTGCTACATCGGTTATCCTTTCAATATCAGCTGTAACTATACTTTTAGCTAAATGGTCTGCTCTTTCATTTCCTTGAACCTCAATATGTGATGGAGTCCATAAAAATTTTACTTCCAAATTATTTTTTTTCAATTTCCACCTAAACTTTTGATTTCATATATAATGAAAGACGTTTTAGCATCTAAAGCTCTTGCCTTCAGTGCCTTCAAGACACTTATGCTATCAGAGATCAGTAACCATTTATTAGATACATGTGGGTGTTCTTCTATATATTTAAGAGCGATTAAGACAGCATAACATTCTGCAGTGTATATGCTTGCTGATGCAGGAATGGAAAGGCCACGTCCAGTTTTCAAATCATCATCATCATCATCATTACAGCCCTTCACAAGTCCACTGCTGAACATAGGCCTCCCCCAAAGAATGCCACAAAGCACGGTCCTGAGCCACCTGCATCCATCGACTTCCTGCATGTCTTACCAGGTCGTCACGTACGAGGCTGCCACTCGAGAACCTTTCTTCCCCATCGGTTGTCGGTTCTTCGAGCTATATGGCCGGCCCATTGCCACTTCAGCTTACTAATCCGTTGGGCTATGTCGGTTACTCTGGTTCTACTGCGGATATCCTCATTCCTAAGTTTATCACGCAGAGAAACTCCGAGCATAGCCCTCTCCATAGCTCGCTGAGCGACCTTGAGCTTCCTCATCCGGCCAGCAGTGAAGGACCACGTCTCAGTTCCGTATGTCATCACTGGCAACACGCACTGGGTGTACAGTCTCGTTTTCAAGGTTTGAGGTATAACTGACGAGAAGATGTGCCGTAATTTCCCGAACGCTGCCCAACCGAGTTGAATCCGTCGATTGACCTCTCGGTCGAAGTTGGACTTACCTAGTCGGACTATTTGTCCCAGGTAAACATACTCGTCAACAACTTCGAGCTTAGTGTTCCCAACAACTACCGGCATAGGTGTGACATGGACATTAAACATGATCTTAGTTTTGTCCATGTTCATCTTAAGACCTATCCGTTGGGAAACACTATCGAGGTCATTGAGCATAGTGCTTAGGTCCTCCAGCGATTCTGCCATAAGGACTATATCGTCGGCAAATCGAAGGTGAGTGATGTACTCGCCATTGATGTTGATACCGTATCCTTTCCAGCCCAGAAGCTTGAAAACGTCTTCCAATGCAGCGGTGAAGAGTTTCGGGGATATGACGTCACCCTGTCTTACACCTCTCTGCAATTGGATAGGTTTCGTACTCTGGTTCTGTACTCGGATAGCCATCGTAGCCCTACTGTACAAGCACTTCAACACTTCGATATACCGACAGTCAACTTGGCACCGCTGAAGGGACTGCAGCACCGCCCAAATTTCGACGGAATCAAAGGCTTTCTCATAGTCCACATACGCCGGACATAGTGGCAAATTGTACTCTTCGGACTTCTGTACAATTTGCCGAAGGGTATGTATGTGGTCTATGATGCTAAAGCCCTTTCGGAAACCGGCTTGTTCGGGAGGTTGGAAGTCGTCAAGTCTGCGCGCAAGACGATTCGTAATGACTCTCGAAAACAGCACGTAGACGCGGCTCAGAAGAGAAATCGGTCTGTAGTTCTTCAAGAGAGCGTTCTCACCTTTCTTGAAGAACAAGACCACCGCACTTCTGCTCCACGCCTCCGGTGTAATGCCACCATGGAGGACGGAATTAAAGAGCCTCTGAAGGACTTCAAGTACCGGTTTTCCACCCGCTTTCAGAAGCTCCGCTGTAATTCCATCCTCGCCTGGGGCCTTACCGTTTTTAAGGTGCTGGAGAGCCATTCTAATCTCGCTCAGACTGACGTCCGGGATATCTTCGGAATAGTGTCGGATGAGACTCGCTCTTGGATCGTTACTCACACTTGCGTGTGGCTCCAACGATGACGTGTACAACTGCCCATAGAACCTCTCAATCTCACTCAAAATCTCAGGTGTCCCGGAAACGATGCTGCCACATTCTGTCTTCAGCTTTGACAGTTCGCTCTTTCTGGCAGACAGATCTCTGGCAAAGACTTTGGAGCCTTGGTTCCGCTCGATCGCTTCTTCAATACGAGCTGTATTGAAGTTGCGTAAGTCCCGCCGCATGCATTTGGAGATCTGTCTGTTCAGTTGCCTGTATGCTGTCAAATCTGTTGAAGAATGTAGCTTCATCTCCCGTCTAACAGCCATGAGATTAAGAGTGTGATCGGAGAGTTTTTGTGTTCTTCTGCGGCGGGTCTTGCAAAACTTAGCTCCGACCGCATGGACAGTTTCCACGAGCTTGTCTGTCATTCATATCGTCCACTTCATTGCAGTCTTCTAGGCACTGAAAACGGTTTTGTAACTCGAGCTGAAAGGTTTCGGGACTTTGGATTAGAGCACGAGGGGGACGGAGCGTTGACTTCATTAGACGAGACCTCTCCAACTTAACGTTAGGTTCAGTGTGCCTCTAACCATTCGGTGATCGCTACCAGTTTTCACCCTCGCGATCACGGAGACATCACTGAACAGTTGTCGTCTGGTCGTCATAATGAAGTCAATCTCATTTTTTGTGGAACCGTCGGGGCTCGACCAGGTCCACTTCCTGTGGGGCCGCTTCTGGAAGAAAGAGTTCATCATAAAGAGTCCCTCTTTCTCCATGAAGTCGGCCAGCTGCTGGCCCCTTGGGTTCCGTTGCCCTATTCCAAATTTCCCTACTTTCAGCTGACTGTTCTCTCTTGTGCCTAGTTTTGCATTAAAGTCTCCCATTAACACCGTATATTATGTTTTGGAGGAATGCATGGCTCTAGAGATATCCTCATACATTTCCTCCACCTCCTCATCGGGGTGTGCCGAGGTTGGTGCGTAAACCTGTATGACCTTCAGCGAATACCGTTTGGTGATTCTGAGTATAAGGTACGCAACCCTCGTCGACACACTCCCGATCTTTACAACGTTGTTAACGAGATACTTGTGGACGATAAATCCGACACCTCCTTGGGACAGATGGTCGCCCTCCCGGTGATAGAGCAAGTTGCCGGATTCGAGGATTACCGTGTCCTCCCCCTCTCTTCGGACTTCGGATAATCCTATAATATGCCAGCGCAACTTGTCCATCTCTTCTTCCAGCTCCACGATCTTCTCGTCAGTCCTCAGGGTGCGTGCGTTGTACGTTGCCAGGTCAAGTCGTCTAAGGTGGCAACCGAACCTCCACCGGAGATTCTTAGCACCCCCTGCCCCGCCGTTACCATGGTCGCCACCGTAGCCAGGAATAGCGGGGCCGCCGGGGACTGAGGGCCGTTTCTTTGTTACTGTCATTCATAGGGGGGTATTTGCCATAGTTGCAACGCTTGGCGAGCGGGTTGGCAACCGCAGTTTTTTTTTATTGTTAGTTTGTTGTTATCAAGAAGATGCTGCTGCCCATCTCCTGCCTGTTTCCCTTTGTCGCCTTTTACGACACCCACGGGAGGATATGGGGTAGTGGATATTCTTGACCGCCACTACACGGCAATGTTTTCAAATGAGGTATGTAAAATGCACAGGCTACTTTATTTTCAACTTTTGAACCATCTGTGTAAATTTGTCGATATTCATCATATGTAGATATAAGTTCATAAACCTCTTTTTTCTTTTCAATTTTTTATCAATATTTATGTGTATATCACTGAATTTACTTTCATAATTATTCCCCTTATAATAAGGCCAAGTATGTGTGCTTTTGTGAATATTATATTGTTCATCATATCGTATCACTTCATGAAAGTCATGGAGTATATATGGGGCTGAGTTAGATATAGGAGACATACTATTATAGTAAAATAATACTTTTTGAAAAAGAGGATGATGTGACAAAGAATTGATATTTAATAAAAACCTAAATTTCACATATTTAAACCTAAGTAAAATAGGAGGAGTAAGACATTCAGCCTGTAAAGAAACAATAGGAGTTGTTCTCACTGTGATATTGAAAAAGTTTTAGTACAATATAGAAATATCGGAGAACATGACTGGGAGAACAAAGACGACCCCATCAAATTTTGGTGCGAAGTTCTTAAATACAAGTATGCTGCTGGAATCAACTTGTACCAAGAGCTTGGGACCTTGTCGAAAATGAACCTAATTAAAACTAAAACCAGGAACAAAATGGGGCTAAAACAATTACATCACTACTAAAAATACGATGGGGTTTAAAACGACTGAGACAGTCCTGCAGTTTTTTTTTTATTGGATGAGGGTGACAAACGAGCACACAGTTTTTCAACCCTTTGCTGTGACCCATAGACATCTACACTTATCTTCGATTACGAATCAAAATGCAGATGCGTTGTCACCCGTAAGGACTAAGATGGAATGCCTCGTTTCCAGTAAAAAGGGTCTCCAGTTCTCTACACTTACCATACGAAACACAGCAGCGTTAAGCTGCTATTTTACGCTGGTATTCTGTGAGAGCGTGGTCCTTCCCCGGTCGAGCCGACCCGTTGGTGCTACAACCATATTGTAGCTGCAGCATGGCTCCACCACGTATAAAAGTTCACACAAGCTACCATATGAAATAATAAAGAAACTGTGGAAGTAATTAGCAAAAAACGCATACGTCAGTCAGTCACTTCTTCTGCTTCAGCAGTTATAGTTTCAAAAGATTCCAATGACGACTCTGATTTTGATTAAAATTTTAATAAGTGAATTTTAATTGTATATAAGTACCTACTACATTTAAAATAAACAATTTTTAAATTGCATAATTTTTTTTATTTGTTATGGAAGGAACGTATGCACTGCGAGATGTTTCATTTCATGCTTATAGTTTCTTCTTTTCTGCTGTGGCTGCTAAAACATAAGACAAAAGATACACATACCTATGCTTGATCGAAGACTCTTTTTTTTTTAAAGTTTTATCCAACGGACGTACACCGTAAAATGTATTTATTTTTTAACTCTTTCTAGCAGCTCTCAGAATTTTCTATAATTAGCCCTATTTAGATCGCCCATCTTGGTCCATCTGCCCCTTTTCAAAAACCAAAGTGGCAACACTGAATTGATATCCGACCGATTTCGCTGCCGCAGGAGCTTGCTACTTATCTACCTAGTCAGGTCATAAATTCTGTCACATGTTTAATATAAAATAATTGAAACAAGTTTATTCATTATGTAAACATTTATATACCAAAATGAACTTAACAAAACATAGATTCTTATGACACTAAAGTTTATTCAAAATGACCTCCGTGATTTTGAATACAGGCCTTCAATCTGCGCGGCCAGTCGTCTATCGCAGCACGAACGAGGTCCATGTCAATATCGGCGGCTGCCTTAATCAAGGATGTCTTGAGTGACTCCAAATTAGGATGAGGCTTTGAGCACGCCTTTTCCTTTAAGTGTTGCCATATCTTGTAATCTAACGGATTCAATTCTGGACTGGAGGAGGGCCAGTCTTCGAGCCGGATGAAGTCGATATCACGCGCCGCCAGCCAGTCTTGTGTGCTCTTCGCTCTATGAGCTGGCGCCGAATCTTGTTGGAATACCCAGTGCCTGTTATTGAACATGGTATGAGAAACAGGTTCCACAAGGTTCGTCAGGACTGTATTTTGATACACAACTGCATTCGTTTTTACACCTTTCTCACAAAAATGTACCTCTGTTAAGCCCCAATAAGAAACTCCCAACCATACCATGAGCGAGAATGGAAAATGACCTAGTTGGACACGTGGAATACGGTTGCTCACTTCTTCACTACTGTATGCGTACACCTTATCATTTTGTTTATTGTAGCTCTCTTCTACGGTAAAAATTTTTTCATCCGAAAAAAGGAATTTCCCGATATTTTTTTCCCGCGTACCGCTACAACAAAGCGCGGCATCTCTTCAGTCTCAGGTCCATTAGACGAGCATTCAAACGATGTCCTGTTTTTCTTCGATATGCCCGAAGCCCTAAGTCTTCATTTAACAACCTTTTCACCGTGGTTCTGCTTAACCCCATCTGAAGGGCCAACAGTTTCTGCTTACGTTTGGAATTTCTTTGAATTCGCGCCTTCACAGCTTTTATCACTGCTGGAGTCCTAACAGACCGAGGGCGACCACTTCTTGACCTGTCATCTACACTAGAGTCTTCATTGTATCGTTTGATGGTACGATAAACGAATCTTTTGGTTATATTGAAATTTTTCAGTATGTCAAAAATTTGAATTGGCGCGTAACCGCAACGATGCAACGCAATAACTGCAACACGGTCTTCTTTAAGCGTCCACTCCATATTTAAAAAATGAGTAAAATTCTAAAAAGTATACAGTTTTATTTTCATGAACAATTCGAAATTCGAATTCAATAAACTATTTTGTGGCCAGCATTCTAAAAGATAAGTTTTTACTGTGTGACAATACTTATGACCTGACTAGGTATTTATCTAGGTGCCGCAGTTGTTTAGCTTGCTACATATTTATTGATCTATGCAGTTGACAGCAGTTTCGGTTTATACAAAGGTACTGTCTGTTGTTGACAGAGAAAAAAAACATGGTCAGGCTCAGAAGGGCTAGAACCCAGAGCCGTAAAGCCAATTTAAAAAAAAGAGAAGAAAAAAAAACAGCTAAAGTTGAACTTGAAAGTTGATGTCGCGCCTTTTATAAAACTAATAGATGAAAATACAAATTATTACTTATTTCGACAGATACAGAAGAAGCATGTTGTTATTATTTATTTTACAATTACATTTCGTTACATCTTTTGCTTACGACAGTGGTTATGTGGTATATTGTCCATGTATGGGTAAGTTGCTATACAAACATATACAAAAAAATATACTAAAGATCTAAACAAAAATTACTTTTTAAAAAGTGGATGCTTGCAGCAAATTACTTAAAAGTACTTGGCATTTACTTTCACAAACTAGCAGAGTTTGTTTTATTACTTATCTCATAATTAATGTTATTGTTATGATGTGGAGATATTTCAATCCTTTTCCCGTTATATTGGTATGCATAAATACTAAATGAAACTAGCCAGTAAGCAAACTAATTTAATAATAATAATATTAACACAATCTCAAGCAGTCCCACATTACCAGTGTATTCCAAAAGTGAATGCTACAGTTCATAACAATAGCACAGTCTAACTATTACTAGACGTGGGCGTTATTTCACGTCACTAGTTACAATAACTGGCTATGCGGCATGTAACCGAATCACTAGTTTCGAATCACATTACAAGTAGTGATTTTTGTAAATGCGTTATTACTGTTAACTGTGATTGTTGCGAGAGTCGACTGTCGGTCGGTCAAACGCAGAGCGCACATGTGGCATACAACAATAAACAAAACAGCGTATGTAACAGTATTATTGTACGTTTAATTTTCATACGTAAGACTATAGATATAGACAATATAAATAGAGTGATCTTTGTTTGTAAATAATTTCAATGGTTTGCGATTCCGGGAAGCGATAGTCACATTGAATTTAAGTAAAATAATTTAGTTTGTTTTAGTTCATCGTTGTACTTGTGTATAATTTTGAATACTATCTTGTAAAAATTAACATTTATATGTTATTTTGGTATTTTATGTACATTTACTGTAACGTTTCTTTGTTATTATATAAATATAATTAGTGTGGATTGTACAAGTTTAAATAAACTGTGAATATCAATAATCATTGTATATATAATCAAATTGACTTGTAAATGCCCCTGCATTAATAATTTTATGAAAATCTTAGTTTCATAGTAAATACAAATCAATCATAAATACATTTAATGCAATCACTTCTAAGCCTGAATAAAGTATGAAGGGAAGTTAATTTATTGATTTAACTGTATAGCTACAAACACTTAGTGATGAAATTTATTTTCTTTTCGTGTGTAACTGTATAGTTCGCGGTGGTATTTATACAAACAATCACAGTAGCCGAATAAAAATAGCCAGTTACAAAAATCACTAGTTTTGAAACAGGTGACGCCGACCAAGTCACTGGTTTCATTACGTTTCTTGAAAATGACGTAACGACCCACGTCTAACTATTACTACAGTCAGTCATCGAAGACGTCTAGACAGGGCAATCGTGCAGTGTTCTACACATGCCATCGTATTATTAACTCTGGTCACGATATTCAGAACTAACATATAATTGCTTTTTATATTGTGTGTATAATTAAAATGGTGCATGTGACACAAGCATTAATTAACTACAAACATACTACATATGTGTTGTATCTAAATTTAATCAATACTTTCAATTGCTAACTTGACTTTTTTTTCCTGAAAGTTGTTCACATTTATGTGTATGTTGTATTAATTAATGATGCAACAGATGTGTGAGACTTTTGTTTTATTTATAAATCATAATGTATGTTTCCTATTTTGATCCAATATTAGAATTGTACCTCATCAAGTTATTACAGATGCATTTCAAAATATGTGGGACATTGAAAATCCAGTAATTTCTTTTGTTACACATTTATAATTTCATTTTCGACATCTTGGAAAATTGTAAGAATTAGAAATTCTTGCTTATTGTTTATATTAGTATGATGGCGACACTGAAAGTTTTTAGAACTGGCCACTTGTAAACAATATAATAAAAAAATAAGTTCTAATTTTAAAAATGGAACTCATTGCCAATATTATTGTGTATGTATTTTATTAATTTGTGATTTGTTTACAATTTGGTAGCAAATTGTAAATTTTCTGTGTCACGTCAGCATGAATTTTCCTACTATGATTTTTATGGCTTTCGATGTCATTTAAGTCAACAAGAATGTTTTGATAGACTGTACTTGTACTATCATAATCTTCTCTTGTATATGGGCATAGTATTTGTAACTACTGAGCTTCTACTCAATAAACACTTTCACGCTGACATTGGCGAATGATCAGAACCGCCATAAAAAAGAAAGAAGAAGAAGACTTTAATTGGCCTTTCACGATGAAGCTCCATCTCGTGCCACTGTTCACAAATGGTTTTATGAGTTTAAATGTGGTCACACTAATCTCACCGATGATCTGCACGAGGGACGGCCTTCTACGGTGACGACTGAAGATAACATCAGTGTTGTGCAGCATATGATAGAGACTGACAAAAGAGTGACTTATCAGCAGATTCGGATACACTTAGGCATTGGCATGAGTCAAGTCCACAAAATCCTCCTTGAGCATTTAGCAGTCAGGAAACTTTGTGCCCGGTGGATACCTCATAATTTGACAGAGGTCCAAAAACTCAGTCGTGTTGATTGGTGTCGTGAAATGTATCAAAAATTTTATTAAATGGATTAAAGATTAGGTGACTCAAATACTGTGTTCGAGATACTTATGGGTGACAAAAGCTGAATTTATTGTTATTATCCTGAAACTAAGAGACAGTCTGCTTCCTTCCGAGGAGTTGCCAACTAAAGTGAAGAGAGGTCGAAGTGTGGGAATTTTTTTTTTTAGTGATTTATCATGCAATCGGTCGATGGACTATGAGCAGATTGGTTGTAGGACAGATTGGCGTGCAGACAAAACTTCCCCAGTGGGAAGCACTCCATAAGTCTCAGCTATACATTGTCAAGTATATGCCTTATCTTTAGGCGACGAATCTTTTGTGGCATTGTCAACTGCCATGCTAATTGATTTGGATAGTTGCCAAGTCTTGTTTTGTAGTTGCAGCAGTAGCGCCTAATTTCTTCCTTAACTGAGTTCATTTTAAAGTGTTCATGGATTTCAGCATGTTCTTATGAACCATGGTGCGTTTGAAAGTTGATTAAGTATGTAGTTTTGGGTTCTTTGAATGATTTCGATGTTGGAGTCACATGCTGATCCCCAAAGTTGTATGCCGTATGTCCATATCGGTTTTATAATGATGTTATATAGCAGGAGCTTATTGTCTAAGGAAAGTCTGGAATTCCTTGCGAGCATCCAATATAGTCCTCTGTATCTATGGTAGATCTCATCCTTTTTGGTTTGGATGTGCTTCTTCCAAGTGAGCCTTCTATCCAAGTACATGCCCAAGTACCTAACGTTGTCACTTTGCGGAAGCGAATTGTTACGCAGTGAGACAGGCGGACAGTTTCCTCGACGCAAGGTAAACGTAACATGGACTGATTTTGTGGCACTAGCCTTTATTTTCCACTTTGATAGCCATTTGTCAATCTCATCTAGACTATGTTGTAGGATTGCTGAAGCATCGTCAGGACTTCTACTAATATTTTGCTAAGGTCACACTACACTTGAAAAGAGACACGAGTGTCGATTACACGACACGTGTTTCGACTCTACACGAGACATCCTCAGGTGAAGTCGACTCGCCAGTGGTCAGCCTCTGCAGTCTTCTTCACCTGAGGGCCTTTTAATAGTAAGTTATAGAAAAAAAAAAATTTACAATCTTTTAAAGACACGGGCCTTTATAAAATGTGTATTATAAGGGTTTCAATGCCATATATCTAAACTAGCAAGCAGACTTAGCAAGCTCTGCAGCTTACGTTCTAAAAAAGATAATAAATCTCATTAGCAATGAGACAGCTAGATTAGTTTCTTTCAGTTATTTCCATAGCATGTCCCATGGGATTTTGCTGTAAGGAATGCTTATTACACTGAAATGATCAGGAATAAGAAAAACCACATGCACAGTATAGCTAAATTGTATTTTATTGTTTTTCGAAGTATTCTCCATTCAACTTAATGCACTTTTCCATTCGTGCAAACCAATCATTAAAACAGTACTTCCAGTCTGAAGTTGATGTTGACAAAATGGCTGATTTGTACGCTTCCACAGCTGCTTAGGGGTCTTCAAACCGTAGACCGCGTAGTAAATCTTTCATTCTAGGGAATGTAAAGAAATCGTTTGGGCTCAGGTCAGGACTGTACGGAGGATGGCTCATCAGCTCAACGTTTTCCTGCTTCAAAAAATCATTTGTCTTCCGAGCCGTATGGGAGCTCGCATTATCGTGATGTAAGATGATGCGACGTTTCGGATTATTTTTTCGGAGTTCGGTTATAATTTCTGGCAAACAAACCGTGATACACCACTCAGAGCTAACCGTTCTGCGTTCCTGTAAAGGAATTGTAGCAACATGCCCCTTTTTCTTTGACACGCTGCGGGGGCGAACCACTTTCGTTGGTTTGACCTCGTCTTCGAAGACCCAAAATGCTGACTGATGTTTTCTTTCAGGTTCGTATGGACAAATCCATGATTCGTCACTTGAGACGATTTTGACTTTCCTCCGTTGAAGCGTTGCAGAGTATTCCGGCAGCAATCTACACGGGCCGCCTTTTGCTCTTCGAACAAATTGTGTTATGTAATATCGACTGAATTGCAGTCATTCCGATACTGATAACAGCCCGAATCTGCTCGTATGTCACATGATGGTTATCTAATATAATAGTTCGCACAGCTGCGATGTTTTCAGGCGTGACCGCTGTTCTTGGTCGACCTGCAGAAGAAACAGTGCTGAGCGACACACGACCGCGTCGGAACTCGGCATACCAGCGGTATATTGTCGTTTAACTCGATGCTTCAACATCATAAATCGAAACAAGTTCGCTGAGACATTTATCTTTGGATAAGCTGCGACGAAAATTGTGATAAATTATGGCACGGAAATGTTCACGCGTGAGCTCCATTTCTGTTAACTACGTGTCAACTTTAAACCAACATAGTTTTTATATTTAAACATTTTTTTTTAATTGTTTGAATATCATTAAGATTCTAAGAGGCCAGTATTCAAATTCTAAAAAAGGTTTTATTGTAACTCAATCCGAAATATTCTATTCCCGATCATTTCAGTGTGGCCGTCGTATGTTCACAAAAACAAGAGTAGTTTTAATATAAAAAGCGATTTACAATCGTAAACACCAGCGTTGAATCATCCAACTCTTCTTTTTTGGACCAGCTTTAGTTGCTACTACGCCCAGCGTCTCACAAGCGTTTGCGCACCTTTATTAATAATTTTTGCTTTTTAGTTTAGCGATAACCGTTGTACAAGTTTTAATATATCATATAGAGTACACTCCAGTGCGTCTCATTTAACAAACCGGGCTACGAAGTCTACGTTGGTCCTTCGAGTCGGATCAATTGGATTTTCGATTCGGATATTTTGTTGAGTTGGATGACTCAACATTCAATAACAAACAAGCTAATGATACCAGTTTCTCGACTCTACAAGAGTCAATAATTTATTCATAGGGCAATACGCTATTACAATAAAGTCCCAGAAAATATACAAGGTCTCTATTACCAAGATTAAATATTTTATAAAACAAAAACCGTATAAAAAGGTTATTATAATATAAATTAATTAATGGTTGATAATAACCGCTGGGAAGGAGGTGTTCGCTTCCAAGCTGTTTCTTAAATTAGTTTGTAGAACTTATTGTATAATATACTTTGAAAAATAAAGTCCTGCTGGGTTTCTTACTGGTGCTTCACAAAACAAAGGTTTTTCTCGAACCAGTGGTAAAAGTAAAAAAGTGAATCAATAAGAATTACTTATATGTATATTAAATAAAAAATATTCTATTCTATTCCAATAATGTATAATAGAATAATACCACCTTATTATGAAACAACCCTAGCCTAATTTCAGTGTGATATATAATTATACGTATCCGAGTCAGAGTTTAAAGACCAAACATATACATATACATCTTACTAAATACTCGTACATGGACACTACAGTAACAAATGCAACAACATGAGTGAACAATGCAGTCACGAACTCACATTGATTTTCTTTTTTTTTACAGGTAGATTTGGAAATCAAGCAGATCATTTTTTAGGTGTTTTAGCATTTAGCAAAGGTGTAAATCGTACCCTTGTATTGCCACCATGGGTTGAATATCGGTTTGGAGAAGCAAAATCAATTCAAGTGCCATTCGACACTTATTTTGAGGTAGAATCTTTAAATGTTTATCACCATGTTATCACTATGGAAGATTTCATGAAAGATATAGCTCCTGTTGTGTGGCCGCCGCATAAAAGAATATCTTTTTGTTATGTTGAGAGAAATGGGGAAAAACTAAATAGTTGTAATGCAAAGTCTGGAAATCCTTTTGGGCCGTTTTGGGATACATTCAATATAGACTTTATAGGTTCTGAATTCTATGGTCCTTTAAATTATGATGCTCATAACAAAGAAATGATGAATAAATGGAAACAAAAGTATTCATTAAAGAATTGGCCAGTCTTAGCATTTACAGGTCAGTAAAATAATACCAGATAGCATTAAGAGGTTAAAAATGGATTAATTTAGACTACAAATTACTATGTAGTCAGCGATGATGAATTTCAGACCCGATATTGACTATGAAGTTGAAGTTGCCAACTGAAATGTAATAATATACAGTAATTGACATAGAATTAAGGATAATTAATAGTACTAAGCCAATACTCTGTTTTTACCACAATTTCAGCGCACAGTTTGTTTCTAAACATACAATACCTACTCTGATAGTGTTGTAGAATATTCTTATGACTGATTTGTGTTATAAGTGTAATAATCTTGTCAAAATAATGAACCTTTTTGTTTTTCTATTTATTAAAGCAAAGGAACTCAAGTTTCCGGAATACTGGCTGGACAAATAAGTAATTAAGAACGAAAATATCTTGTTCTTTTTTCATCATTTTGAAAATTGAATGCGATGTTATTCATTACTAGTTTTATGGAAATTTCGTGCTATTTTTGTTAGGATATACGTTTTCGGCTTTTTATTTTTGATATAAATGGTAGAAAATAAATCTTGCGACTCTATTGCTAGAGAAATAATAATAACCGTGCGCTTTTCTGCCGACTTCCAAAAAGGAGACGGTACTCAATTCGACGGTATGTTTTTTTTGTGTGTTACCTCATAACTTTCTACTGGGGGAACCGATTTCGATGATTCGTTTTTTGTTTGAAAGCTGGTACCATATGAATTTGATCAAGGTCAGACCAATAGTTTTTGAGTTATTCTTAATAACTTATATAAGTCGGCTGTACAAAATTTTTAATTTTAAATTATCATAGAATAAGGGTGACTAGTCTCCTCCGTCCTAAAAGATATCTACATTTATCCTCAATTAAGAATCAAAATGCAGATGCGTTGTCACCCCTGAGGTCTGATATGGAATGCCTCGTTTCCAGTAAAAAAAGGTCTGCGTGGTCATATAAAAATTGCGGATCTCTTACATTGCTCAAAAACGATGGTGTACCACCATTTAATACACATCAGACAACTTAGAATGTCCCCCGCAAACCTAAAGCAAGAAAAATGTTTCCCAGAGGCTTTAAGAATAGTTCACCTTGCCAATCAGGATCCGTTTAAAGGCTCAAATGAAATAAAAAAATGAAGTTTTTGGTGAGAATAACCCTAGGGCAACGTGCACGTACCCTTCGAAAACTACTAGTGGAGGCACAGTTGCTTGGGCGAGTAACGACGAAGGCACTCATGTTGAGACACCAGGCCATAGAGAGGCACGACTAGATTTTGCAAGGAAGTATCAAGATTAGACAGAGCAGCAGAGGAAGAATGTACTTTATTCGGACAAAACCAAGATAAATGGAATATGCTCTCATGGCAAGCAGTACGTGGGCCCACCTAATAAGGCATTCGATCCTAAATACACGAAAAAGACCGTGAAGCATGGCGGTGGAAACATTCAGATTTGGGTTTGCTTTTCTGGTTATGGCGTGAGATCTACTAGGCTGATACAAGGTAACTTGAACCAAAGAGATACTCGACAATATGCCATGACAATATCCTGGTAATTTGGATATTCCAGCACGATAATGACCCGAAGCACCCAGCACACTGTGAAAATATACCTCGACAGTCAACTGGTAATTGTATTACGCTGGCCACCGAACAGCCCAGATCTTAATCCGATCGAGCATCTTCGGTGTCAAGTCAAAAAGAGACTATCAAACAGACGGTTTGGTAACATTAATGAGCTGTACCACTCGTTCTTGGAAGAGTGGAATGCTATTTCAGTAGAAACCCGCAAAATAATTTATAGCGTCTGCTGCGCCGCTGTCATGCAGTAATCCATAACCAAGGATATGCCAAATATTAATTACAGTTTTTTTAAAGTTATTAATTAATTAATTTTATTTATTTATAATTATATTATTAAATAAGTATTTCTCTCGTTCTTAAGGACGCGTTTGCAAAATTGATATGTATAGAATTGAATTGACTTAACTCGAAACTCGGAGCTCGGGAGCTTGGGGCTAACAGGCCGGAGGTAAAGTCTCACTATAACTAACAAATCGAGTTATACCTACCTCAAACTCGGTATACCTAGTTCTACTCATCGAAGAGTTCCAGTAGCAGTAACCGAAGTACACCATCAGGTCTCTCCATCAAGTCCGGAGGTAAGGTCTCATCGTAACTAATCGAACGAGCCCAAACTCGGTACACGTCTTTACGATCTTTTTCTGCATGAGCCGCTGCAATCAGGCGATACAGTATCCACTCACAACGGCGGCCGAACGCGGACTGTGGTTTCATCGAAATTTTTGTACAAATCAAAAAAAAAAAATAACCCTTCTTGCAAGCGATTATGATTCATCCGTATTAGCAAAATATGTGAAAAAATAACCATCAGTTTTTTTTTTACTACTGACATTTTGATAAAAAGTAAATACTATTATTTTTTATTGAATAATACTGCCTACTTACAGTATTTTTAGAAATCTTAATATATATTGATAATAGAACAAAAAGTGTACCTAAACTCAAGCCGGTATCGTTAATTTTGTAGAAAATGGCTAGGGAAGATGGTTTTTACAATTTAAAAAACTATTATTTTCAACAAAAATGCCACTACCATTTGAAGATGAATAACCAGTCTATACGTGGTAGTTATTAGTTATATTTGATTTGGTTTAGTTTTGTCACAAAATGTACCGAAAAACACCATAATTTTGCCCGATTTGTAAACGCGTCCTTAATTTGTTCAACTACAATACTCGTAATGATAAAAATTATATCGTAATTTCTTTTGTGATTATATTAACCTTGTAAATGTACTAGTTGGCAGTATAACCAATATTTCCAGGAAGTAATACTTTTTTGTTATAAACATTTACATTTTGAAATGAAGTCTTTGTATGAAGCATTCTTAATTATTTGACCACCACTCTATAGCTATATGTACAAACACAGTAGCACTTATTCGTTCTAACCATGCTCTTTGCGATATTAAGACTTAAGGTATCCTGAATATTATAATTACTAATATTCCTACATTGAAGCTAGGACCTATTTTTCTTTTATTTAAAAATAAAATTACCCCCACACTAGGCCTTTTCCTGTATTGTAGAAGCAGTTTACATACATAAACTCGCATTTAGAACCGGAACAATTATTTGAAGGCCATAAAAATACTTGTTCCAAGCGGGATTCGAACACACGTCCCTTAGCACCGCAACTCATTGCTAAGCCACTGCGCCACGGAACCGTTACCTGTTTCTAAGTCATGTGAGACAACATCGACAAAAGAAACAAGTAAAACGTATTAATTATGTGTTAAATATTTTATAACTAACTTTCAGATTTAGGTAATAAGCACAGCTTGTTACATTATTTTTTGTTTATATGGTAATTACACGGTTAATACAATCATACCCTTGATATTGCATGCGTTAAGCGCAAAGCGCGTAGGTATGTTCTACTAACGCCTAAAAATCAAAATTGCAACGTTTTGCCGCATGAAATCGTATCAAACAATCATATTGAACATATAAATTATATAAAAAGCACATTCTCAGAAAGATAAATGATTGTCGAACTAATTATTATTATTTTTAAATCGATCAATTGCTATTTTTACATAAAATAAGCGGTTTTAGTGGCATAAGGTGTAGATTTATCAAGTCCGCATGAAGGCGTAAACACGATAAATTTTGAAAATATCAATTGTTTAATTCAATCTCAATTTCATCTTTATCTATCATGTGGGAAGCCATGGAATGTAAATAGCAGTTTAATTTTCTTTTGCTTAGTTTTTTTTTTCGGCTGAGAAATAGCGTAATTTTCGGTGTTTTGAGCAACCTTGTATTAATTTATTTTACTAAATACACTTTGTCGCACTCCCGGCCGTAGTACTTTTTTACTCTGGGCTCAGCAGCCGTCGTAAGTGGTCGTTTCTTTACAGTGGTTCATGCTGAAAAATATCAATCGCTTTACTCTTTGATATACAAAATATTCCAAAAACCAAATTTGATACATGCTTGACCAAGATAAAATATTATTATTATTTTATAATTACGGATTTTTATTACAATATTTTGTTTCGCTGAAAGTGCGTAGGATTTATATATAAATATACTTATACGTCTTGGACTTTATGGGACTGAAGGTGTACTTCGATATCTGCTACTGGAACTCCTCGACGAGTAGAACTAGGTGTGCCGAGTTTGGCCTCGTTTTGTTAGTTATGAATAGACCTTACCTTGACGTAGTGATTTGAAAGTGTACTTCGGTGACTGCTACTGTAACTCTTTGATGAATAGAACTACAATTTACATTTTTTTAAATTTTTTCACTATCATATGATCGTTATGAGTGTTGCACTTTTGGATTTTCCAAACTATTTTTAAATTGAAGTTTGACATAAATTATCGGAAAATTGGAAGTATAGTAATAAGGTTATTAGTGAAAACTTGTGTGTATTTAAACTACTTTAATAAAAAAAATTGTAATTTTTTTAATGCGCTTAAGGCATGCACAATTGGATTTATCAATAGTTTTTTCAATAAATTTGCCTATTAAACACTTCGCAGGTGATATGTTTTGATATTCAATAATCACTAAATCGTCAACTTCATGTTCAGTTCTTTTAGTTGACCATTTACACCTTTAAGTTAAAAATATTCTGTAGACATTGACTGTTTTGAGTAAGTTTCTATTTATGATGAGAAATAGTAAACAAATGGCTTACCCACTAAAATTACATGGAGTCAGTGGTAGTGGATCATCTTGATTATCGCTTAAACAGAATATAGGCTAAGACATTATTGCATTAGAATAATTTCTAGTAAAGGCGCTGTCATTGTGAAATTAATAGATTGTAGACATGTGGTTGACTGTATATACACGGTGTACATTTACCATTTTTAGTATACTTTAAATTGGATTCGGAACTTTCAAATCAGAGGTTAGAGAGAGTCAGAAGCCTATGTCAGACGGACGGACCGCGACTTCGCAACTTTGTAATGACAACAATAATATAGGGCTCAGGGTCGGACCTAAGAGAGAGTAGTATTTTTTTTTATAGGATCGGGTGACAAACGAGCACACAGTCCACCTGATGGTAAGTGGTTACTGTGACCCATAGACATCTACATCTATCCTCAATAAAGACTCAAGATGCAGATGCGTTGTCACCCGTGAGGACTAAGATGGAATGCCTCTTTGCCAGTAAAAAGGTTCTCCGGTTCTCTACACTCACCATACGAAACACAGCAGCGTTAAGCTGCTATTTTACGCTAGTTTTCTGTGAGAGCGTGGTCCTTCCCCGGTCGAGCCGACCCATTCGTGCTACAACCATAATATAGCTGCAGCATGGCTCTACCACGTAGACAGAGTAGTAACACGTTCATTTTCAATCCACGAGAATTTTCCGTGTGATTAAAAATTAAATTTTAGGTTATTAATATTGATTCTCAAACGGATCAAAAGAACGGTGAATCAAATTCAATTCAATTCTAGGGATTTTAAAATGGTCAAGGTATTGGATAAAAATATTGTACTTAGTTTAAATTAAAAACAGTGAAGCGTACATGCAAGAAAAACTAAAGGCCATATAATAAAATGTTTTATAAGTTTAAATGTAAAGCTTTTCAAATAATAATGATATCCAACCCCCCCTACCAAAAACCGTTCTTAGCTTTCGTTCAAACGTCAACTCTTGTCAAATTTCAATCTTCGTTTATTTGTAGTTTGTATCGAACTTGGCCCTCTTTTCACATTTACGTTTTTGGTAGGATTATAACATTTATGAAACATTTTCGATTAATTACTCCTTCGATGACTATCGGTCTAACTATGAGGTTATAACTCCTTTGATCTTTTGTGAAGAAGTGTTTTTAATTGAAATATTTCTATATGTGTCTTTGGTAATAACATTTTATTTGGCTTACAGGTGCTCCAGCTAGTTTCCCTGTCCAAAAAGAAAATGTTCATTTACATAAATATTTGAAATGGAATCGCGCCATAGAAAACAAGTCGAGATCTTTCATCAAAAAGAATATGAGCGGTGGTGGTTTCATAGGAATTCATTTAAGAAATGGTCAAGATTGGGTGAAAGCTTGCCAGCATGTAAAAGATAGTCCAAAATTATTTGCTGCTCCCCAGTGTGTTGGTTATAAAAATGAGAGGGGGTTATTAACTCAATCAATGTGCCTTCCTGAAAAATCTGAAATTATAAAGTAAGTCTGTTATATTATATATTTGTGTTTTGTTTTTTTTATACAATAGGGCACAAACGTGCATGCGGCACACCTGATCGTAAGTGTCGATCGCCGCCCAGGGAACACCAGGGGAATTGCAGGTGCGTTGCTGGCCTTTTAAAAAGGAGTCAGCTCGTTTCTTGAAGGGGAAAAATCGCCGGTGGTAAATGATTCCACAAAGTAGTCTTGCGAGGAAGAAAGCTAGTAAATCGCACAGCAGTGGACCGCCAAGCATCCAGATGATGTGGATGGTACGAGGGGCACACTGAAATGATCGGGAATAGAATATTTCGGATTGAGTTACAATAAAACTTTTTTTAGAATTTGAATACTGGTCTCTTAGAATCTGAATGACATTCAAACAATTAAAGAAAATGTTTAAAAACAATAACTATGTTGGTTTAAAGTTGACACGTCGTTGAAAGAAATAGAGCTCACGCGTGAACATTTCCGTGCCATAATTTATCACAATTTTCGTCGCGGCTTATCTTAAGATAAATGTCTCAGCGAACTTGTTTCGATTTATGATGTTGAAGCACCGAGTCAAACGACAATATACCGCTGGTATGCCGAGTTCCGACGCGGTGTGTCGCTCAGCACTGTTTCTTCTGCAGGTCGACCAAGAACAGCGGTCACGTCTGAAAACATCGCAGCTGTGCGAACTATTATGTTAGATGATCGTCATGTGACATACGAGCAGATTCGGGCTGTTATCAGTATCGGAATGACTGCAATTCAGTCGATATTACATAATGAGCTGTGTGTACGAAAGCTAGTTTCTCGCTGGGTTCCCCACAATTTGCCCGGAGAGCAAAAGGCGGCTCGTGTAGATTGGTGCCGGAATACTCTGGAACGCTTCAACGGAGGGAAGTCAAATGCCGTTTATAATATCGTCTCAGGTGACGAATCATTGATTTATTCATACAAACCTGAAAGAAAACATCAGTCAGCAGTTTGGGTTTTCGAAGACGAGGTCAAACCAACGAAAGTGGTTCGCTCCCGCAGCGTGTCAAAGAAAAAGGGGCATGTTGCTACAATTCCTTTACAGGAACGCAGAACGGTTACCGCTGAGTGGTATATCACGGTTTGTTTGCCAGAAATGATAGCCGAACTCCGAATAAATAACCCGAAACGTCGCATCATCTTACATCACGATAATGCGAGCATCCATACGGCTCGGAAGACAAATGATTTTTTGAAGCAGGAAAACGTTGAGCTGATGAGCCATCCTCCGTACAGTCCTGACCTGAGCCCAAACGATTTCTTTATATTCCCTAGAATGAAAGATTTATTACGCGGTCAACGGTTTGAAGACCCCGAAGCAGCTGTGGAAGCGTACAAATCAACCATTTTGTCAACATCAACTTCAGACTGGAATTACTGTTTTAATGATTGGTTTGCACGAATGAAAAAGTGCATTAAGTTGAACGGAGAATACTTCGAAAAACAATAAAATACAATTTAGCTATACCGTGCATGTGGTTTTTCTTATTCCCGATCATTTCAGTGTGAACCTCTTAACTTAAGTTTTGTCGCGACGTGTGTTGGTGAAATTTGGCGGATGAAATTAATCCGGACAATTCCTCAGAGCACTCCCCGTGGTAAATACGGTAGAAAATGCAACTGCAACAAAAAAACAAAAAAGTATGCAACATTTCTTCGCATCGTCAATTAATCGAACCGATCGGAGAAAACACTCGTTCGTCCACGATTCGAGCAGCTACACATTCTGCTGCTGTTCTTTTTCTATATTTAGTGTATTTTGTCATTTTACGATTTTCTTGGGGTTTAACTCTGACCTGAAAAGAAGTTGATGAAGGCTTTACTAACAGCATGCAATGTGCTATCCTTCACAGTTTATGACTTTGTGACGTGACAGTATCGCAGATCACATATTATTTAGAAATTATTATTTGACCCACTTAATAGTAAGTGTAACGGTTTTCTAGTAAAGTTAGAGGCCGCTGACAGCTCAAGCCGCCGAGATCTGGTGTCACAATAAGTTCTATTTATGTTGTATAAAATACTATTTAAATTCTTTTTCCTATATGTGTTAGAGACATGGGAATAATTATCCCAGCTACTCTTGTGGGTATCCAATGAGTAGATTACGGAAAATGCTAGAAAGATGTATTGATTAAACAATAAAGGGAAGGTATGGCACTTAGCCGCAAAAAGTGGAATATGAAAACTACGTCTGACTAACGCAGTTTCATTTAGTTACGATGGGCGATATTGTCTCGTACGAACGAACGCTATTCTGAAAACTTACTTGGAATTCATTAAAAAATCATCGAAATGCCTTTCTGCTCATTTTGCATCTCTCTTGAGATCAGTTTTAATGTATTTAAACAATATTATCGAAATAAATTTAACCGGACATGTCATTGTGTAAGCGGAAGAGCACTACAGCCAGTCTGTATGATTTTACTCGTATATATCTGAATGACAATGACTGTTTTTTTTCAGGCAAATAAAACGAGCTGTGAAGAAATTGAATGATATAAAATTTATTTTCGTCGCATCAGATTCAAATCATATGATTGATGATTTGAAAACTGCATTACGATCTTTTGATCTTAGTGTTGTGAAACTGCAACAACCAAACCCTCATCTGGATTTAGCTATATTGGGGCAAGCCAATTATTTTATTGGAAATTGTGTTTCATCATACTCTGCTTTTGCTAAAAGAGAAAGAGATGTCAAAGGATTACCTTCTGAATTTTGGTCGTTTCCGAGTCCGAAAAAGATAAGACATGAAGAACTATAATGAATAAGATGGATTATTTATTTTGAAATTGTTACGGAACTTATGAGTAAATGCAAACACACACGAGCGAGAGAGAGAGACAGAAGAAGTTTTTTTCCGTAGCTTATATAACGAAAACATAGAGAGGGTTCTCTGATAAATATGTTTTGTATGTGTAAACAATAAATACATATATTCTAAAATTTCATTTTTTAATATGACCTTTCTTCACAATGGAGATAATGAATAAAATATATTTTTTTTAACTAACCGGCGGTTAATTTCTATAACAACTAAAATTTAATGTAACAATACAATTATTTTACTAACTGTATCAGTCCACTTTTACATGAGCCTCCTACATTGTATGAGTAGGAATTATTTGCAATTATTGTAATTGTTTGGTAGGCGGGCTAGAATTAGTACGATGTGACCATTCATGTGATTATTCAGCTCCTTAATAAAACAGTGGCAAACAGAGTAGTCAGCGCAACAAAAAGTTACAAATATAAAATTAGGGAATCGTGCGTTCTAATTACTCGGCGGATAATAAAATAGTAACGGATTAATAAGCTGTACTGGCAATGGGCCGGTCATATATCTCGAAGAACCGACAACCCATGGGGATGAAAGGTTCTCGAATGGCAGCCTTGCACTAGAAGGAGTGATGACCTGGTATAAGACATGCAGGAAGTCACTGGATGCAGGTGGTTCAGGATCGAGCTTTGTGGTATTTCTTAAGGCCTATGTTCAACAGTGGACTTGTGAAAGGCTCTAATGATGATAATGAATTACTCGGCGAAATGAAGTGGTGGAAATTTTCGCCTATAGAAAAATCAGCTAAAATTAATAAGCAACTTTTTTTCAATGTCCCTAAGTCCTATCGGCCCGGAAAAATCGCTGATGGTAGTGGATATTCCACAAGGAACTTGTGAAAGGAAGAAAACTTCTAGTAAATCACACAGTAGTGGACCGTCAATCATCCGGATTGTATGGGTTGGTATCGCGAGTTTTGTTGCGATGTGCGATGGTGAAATTTGGCGGCTGGTGTGTGTGGTGTGGCTGTGGTAGATGCGATAAAACATGCGAGCCAAGCCAATCAGAAAGAACTCGAATCGTCGAAAATTCGAGGCGATCAGAAAGAACTCGATCGTCAACAATTCAAGCCGATCTAGATAATGGAGCGTAGTGTTGATAAGGTCCTTAGTGAAAGAATTTTCTGAATTGGAAAAGATTATAGAATTACTAGGGCCGGCAGACTAAAGCACATCAGTCAAGAAATTGATTTATTTTTTCTTTGTAGCAAAATTATTAATTTAAATCAATACATCAGCAGACTAAAGCACATAATTCAGTTCGCTTGGTCGGGCTTCAATCTCAAGTAGCGTCCTTTTTCAACCTCTTGATTCTCATGAATCTTGCGACATTATAAAAAAACATAAGTTATGTTGACGCTCTCGCACGAACTTTAAGTGCGTCGCGTTATATCGATGTGATTTTCCTTAAGTGACACAGCAGCAAATTCGTCGACATCCAGTGCATATATAGACTCATCCGGGTACTGACCGATGAGCCGACACGCCACAGGCGGTTGAATGCTGGCGCGGTCCAAATCCCCCCCCCCCCCCAATCTTACACGTCAAATTGAAAAATCTTCGAAAAAATACAGACAGAATCTTCGCGATAATTATCAAGGAAATGACGAGGAATATTTTCGGAGGAATGTTTATATTCCACTAATAGATAGCATAATAACTGACCTACAGGACCGACATTTTGCGGATACGATGAACCCTTTTTTTTAAATAAAACTAATTTAAATCCTGATAACACTATTGGTCATACTGTGTACAGAAAAAATACCCATACCAACCGATATTTAAATGGTGAATCCCACCATCATCCTTCACAGTTAGCTACCGTGGGAAAATCTTTGTTTCAGAGAGCACGAGGAATCTGTGACAGAAAACATCTGGCCGCCGAGCTTCAGCACGTCGAGCAAGTACTGCAAGACAATAAGCTTCGGGTCCCGCGCCTACGTCACAGTGACCGAGTGAAGCCGGCCACAGTCGAGCGTGTGCCTGCTGTACTACCCTATGTCAGAGGAGTCACAGACAAGGTTGGCTACATCTTGAAGCGAGCTTCCATTAAAACGTACTTCAAGCCGCTGAAGAAGATTGGTCAATTTTTACCATCCGTCAAGTGTCATATCCCTCTACAAGATGCAGGAGTGTACAAGCTGGATTGTGAATGTGGTCTCTCGTACATAGGACAAACAAAAAGATCTATTAAAACCCGCGTTAAAGAACATATAGCTGACGTGAAGCACCGACGTATCGGGAAGTCTGCAGTTTGTGAACATGTTCAGGATCGTCCCCGTCATTACATTAGATTTGATAGACCACAAATCCTCGCAAAAGAACACCGATTCCTCCTAAGGATGATTCGCGAGGCTATTGAAATTAAAAAACATCCTGATTTCAATAGAGAAGATGGATGGGTGCTGCCATCTGCTTGGGATCCCATAATTAATAAAATCAAATCCAAACCCAAGTATACCACTGCTAGACTTCAAGATACTGTAAGCTCATTCTGCGTAAATCGAACCAAAAATTAATATTAAAAAACTGAAGGTAGCCGGGCTAACTATGACAGCAGGACGTCAAACAACTCAGTCCCCCGTGACCACGGGTGTTGGAAAGCACCCGAAACGTCGGGAATATAAAAATAAGTTAATATACGCGATAAAATCCGTAAAATTAGTTTTATTTAAAAATGTGTAGTGTTCGCGTAAATATAAGAAATCATTACGATGAACCCGTACGGATTAGGCATTTTTATGCCCAAATCTGAATGTACAGAATATCTTCTTAATGTGAAGAAAGTATCAGAATGTTATTCCCATTTCTTGAGTGTTCCTGCTGCTACTCTCGTTACAGAGTATCAGCTATGGATTTCAAAGAGAAACGGGAGCTCAAAGAAAATACTGATACAAAATTTCCTAAGTGTGTGATTTCTACAATCGAAGTTTGCGTCGATGATCTCTACCCAAATAGAAATATAAAAATTATATGTGGTAGAGCCATGCTACCGATATAGTAATACAATTGGGTCAGCTCGACCGGGGAAGGACCACGCTCTCACAGAATACCAGCGTAAAATAGTAGCTCAATGCTGTTGTGTTTCGTTTGGTGAGTGTAGACGACCGGATACCCTTTTTACTGAAAAAGACGCAATTCCATCTTAGTCTTCACGGCTGACAACGCATCTGCATTTTATTCGCAAACGAGGATAGATGTACATGTCTACAGGCCACAGTAAACACCATCAGGTGGACTGTGCGCTCGCTTTTCACCCTTATCCTATAAAATTGAGACTGCTGAAAATTCTGGCAACTCGTCCCATAAGCAGTCCGACACCAGAGAGATCATTGCTACACTAAGGTATCTAAACACTTGATTGAGAGAAAACATGTTAGGAGAGAGGCTGACAGGTTTACCTCTTCTAAATATTCATCCAGAGATAGCCCCAGACGTCTCAAATATTATCACCCAATTTGCCAATAAAAATAGAAGACTTCCATTTGTTTTGTGCAATAAAATTTTGTATTGTGCAATAAAGTCTAATTTATCATAGATCTATTAAATTATGTCATAGACCACAAGTTCATGGTTCCGGGTCACAGCCACTTGGAAGTGGACATGGATCATAGCCTCATAGAATAAAAAAAAGGATTTGCAGATTTATCGCTCGCATGATTGGATACAACTTATCAGATCGAGCAGTAAATAAATTGAAGTTGTCGAAACGCGCAGTTCCGACTTTTTGGATTTTTCTTTGTTGTTAAAGGTTCCTTTAGTAATAAGAAACAAAGATGTAGAAGAGCGACAGTTTAAATGACTCGATAAAAAGTGGCTACACTATGATTCTGAATTTCGCGTCATGTCCTACAAAGGCTAATATATAAATGATGCATGGTAAATTAATTTTAAATTCATAGAAGTAGCTTGTATTTGTCAAATAAAATTTAGTTTATAGTGAAATGTACTGTTCGCATGCACTTAAATCACAAGTACCTACTATGTACATAGTGTTCTTTCTAACATAAGTCACTAAAATCGCGTTTTATTAAATTATATTTACCGAAGAGGGGATCTGTTCTCTCTGGCTACCCCATCAGGGATTGTACGTGAAGATAAGTAAATATATGTATTTACCTACATGTTAGTATTAATTAAAACATCGTAATATTCTAATAAATTAGAATTTATAGTTTAACTGTATTTTTTTATTTAGTTTTTACTTATTCCTGAAAAGTGTGTTTTGAACTTGTTTTTTATTCCGCCAGCCCTAGTGTTAAGCCCGCCTAAATAACGTGCAATGGGAGTTGCCGCCATGACAGGAAAATTTTAGTGATGCCAGAGCTGATCGTTTTTGCCAAATTTATGGATAAACAAAATGTTGATTGTAATGCTATTGTTAACTGTATATTACTTAATCAGAGTTAAAATAAAAATAAAGAGTTACTTTGCCAGATGTATTACATTTTGCGGAGGTATTGTTCTAGTATATTTTGGGAAATGTTATTTAATAAAATATCAAGAGTCGGGTAATAAGTAATATAAATTGTAATCTATCTTCCTGGCAACATTTGTTTATGCGAATGCAACGCCTAGTACATCGGACTTTGATGACTTGGTGGCGCGGTCTCTATGTTCGGTATAGTGATTAGTGACATTGATAGGACATTTTTGACTTATATATGTAGGTACCGCCACTGGTTGGAAGGCTTTGTTTACAGCGATGGCTATCATAATGTCACCATAATGATATTTCATATCAATTCTCGAGACCATTTTATATTCGTAAAGTATTTTACATCGTTCAAAATCTGCAATAAGGATTCAATAAAACCTCGATATAATAAAAGGTTATTTATTTTTAAATGATCACCAGATCAAACTAGCCCAGAAAAAAAATCGGACGCATTTTTGACACTGCTCGAAGGTAAATTGTTGCTCATATCTTTTTTCTTATTTTGCTTATGATTTACATCAATAATAGAGTCGATGGTTTCAAAGTACGATATATTCCAAAATTTGACATCATTGTTATGTGAACTTGAAGCAATGAACTGGCCGTCGTAACTTATATCTAGACATTCTACGGGTAAATTGTGCTGGCCAACAATACCCAGATGTCGTTGAGGAAACATATGCGTTGCTCTCAAAACGCCATCCTCTCCCGATGTCACAACAATATTTTGTGTAACTGGAACCATACACTGGAGAGAATGTTTCTGGCCCATATATTCGTCACTATGTAGACCAAACTCTTTCCAATTAAATAAATATAGTTTTCCCTTTGATGATCCAACCAACAGTTTAGTATCTGAACGGAACAGTCCCATGCAAGTTAATTCTGCGTCATATTCTTCAGATGTTGTATAAATTTTACTGAAACAAAACAAAAAAAAATGTTATGTTAACATCCAACACGCTGCTAGTGATGCGGGAAATTATACCTGTCCTCGAAATATTGGTTGAATGACAACACCATACGAAATAGTAAGCAAACAGTCGCAATTTAAAAGACAAATGAGACCGCGATTTTAGTTATTTTGAAGATCGTACCATGACTCTAACTAAAAAACGAAACCCTAATACATTTCTTAAGAATGGGTATTATATACTAAAATAAATTAGTAGGCGATCTGGCTGCAAAATTGCTACTTCATGTAGTTTTTAATTCAAATCTAATTTTAATATATAATTATAGATAGGGGAATTATTGCTAGAGTACCTATCAAAATGTGGCCGGAAGTATTTTTAATTAAAGTAATATTAATTGACATTTTCGAAAAAAAAATTAATTCAATTGTCATTTTAAATAAATTATATATAAGTACCACTTTACATGATTATATACAATATGTAAAGAACTTGGAAAGGTTTAGTTGCAGTAGTGCACTTGGCCGCAACCTCTCCGCCGCCAGGTGTAAACAGGTAATACATTGTTATGTGGCCTCTACACCATCGGCCATGATTGACAACCACAGAATGGGGCATGATTGTCTGAGCTGCCGGTATTTATTTAATTAGTTTATATAACCATTATTTTTTTCCGCGTTTTTGTCTGTATGATACTTATTTTTTGGATTCCATGTTGCGGGTTCATTTTGGTACAATTTGATGAATTTAAATGTTTCGTCATTTGTCCACTTCGTCTCCGACATTATAATGCACCTAAATTAATCACGTAAAAAGAAACTATGACGAAATAGCACACGTCCTCACTGTACCGTAAACAAATAAGAACTGAGTGATCGGCGATCATGTAGACGCGCGCACGATCATTGTCGAATTTTCTTTGATGATTGTCTGAAAAACCGACACAGCGGCGATTACGCTCGATCATAACCGATCATGGGCGATTATAGGCGATCCTGCCCTCCACACGATCGTGATTGCTAGTATTCGTCCATCATGGTCGATCGTGTATAGGGCCCATTAGACGAGAATGGCAATTGCCAGTTGTCCGCGGTTTTAAAGCCATTGCGCATGCATCAATAGCTAGTGTTCTCAACCACCGTGACCGGTGTGAGGAACGACTTTATAATAATCCAAAATAATTTTAATAAATTCTTGCCTAGTTATTTTTAAAATTATTAACATTTGTTGGACGAGCAATTACCATCCTTGTCTAACGAATTATGAAAACTCTTCCACATTTAAACGTGCATACGTATGCACGCACACATGCACGCTCGCACACGATAAGAGTACACACTTAGGCCCGTATTAATAAACGTTACTCAGCTCAAGTACACGCACTTGAGTACAATCTTGAGGTTATGATCTTATTAATAAACATATCTCAAGATGCGGTTTAAGTTTACGATATCAGCTGAGTGCCACATTGATTAATAAACGAAACTCGACTCTCAAGTGTGAGTACTGAGTGCAAGTCACAGAACAATATTCCTAAGTACAGCGTTTTGAGATACTGTTTTTATGTGTTTATTAATTAGCAACGTCCTCGAGATACTGATATCGTAATGAGGACGTATTAAATGATTACGCACTTGAGTTCATCGTTGAGTAACGTTTATTAATACGGGCCTAAATCTGCTTGTCCTTTTTTTATATTCCCTTATTAATAATGATTTATTTTATATTTTAAATCAGATTTTTTTCATCAGTACCAAAATCTCCACTGCTGGAAATCGGCCTCTCTTGATGGGAGGATTTGCCTTAATTATCACGTTCAGTGAGCACGATCGCAATACCAGGCGCCTCGACGCTCTCGACCTTTGACGCTGCTTCCCGTGGCCCGTATGGGCATTTTACGTTTGACGTAAACGGGATGGTTCTACTGCCATGCAGCGGCAGCTCTTATGAATTTTCTATATATATAAATATATATATTATATATATATATATATATATATATATATCTCACACACAAGCGGCTTGCGATGACGATCGGACGTCTATCAACTTGGCTAACCGTGACAAAGTCTTATTACTTTTATTAGACCTTACAAGATGAAAAAAGGTAGGTAATAAAACAATCAGTACTTCAGCGATATTATCACATATTTTGTTTTTTATCCTAATGTTTTTTTTTTGTAATTACAGTGTGAAGTATCATTTTCATAATTAATCATCAATGTATAATTATTATCAAATTTTGCACTATTTCTATTAAACATTTTAACAGCGGATGATTATGTCGCACGGATATGCCGACTCGAACCGGGGTGGTATCACGACCTCACACAATACCAGCGTGAAGTAGAAGTTCTGGTAATCCCTCCCCCACTCAACATGGTAGCGAATTTAAATAAAACACTACCCCAGCACCCCTGGGGACGGAGAATCCCTCACTGAGCATCTACGCCGAAGCTACCCCACTCACATTCTACATCGACCACGTTCAAATCGCTGACTCTGTGCTACAACGGGTTCCATCCGCAAAGATCGTGATTCCCGGTGATTTTAACGCCCACCAAGCTGAATAGCTTGGTTCCCGCTTAATCGATCATGCGGATAGATCTGTTTATGACTTTGCTTAGGCACATGCCTAGGTCTAGACCAGTCTAACACAACTGGTTACTTCCCCTACCTGGATCCCAGATGTGGAGGATCATGCACCTTCTCTGTTGGACCTTCTGCTGACCTCTCATCCGGGCGGATATAAGGTTTCCATCGATGCCCCTCTTGGCTTTTCGGACCACTGTCTGATTCGGAGTACGGTGCCACTCACGCTCCTATAGCGGTTGCGTTCTGCAGGTTGCTGCTGTTTGGAACTACAGGTAGGCGATTGCGACAGGATGCGGTCTTTTTTTACATTCTACCCTTGGGGGTGGGTTTGTTTCTAGCCGTATGATTCACACGTTGTTGATGATTCAGTCGCTGATGTGGTACTTCGGAGAATGGAACTTTTTCTTGCCTTTCGGAGGCAGAACTCAATCATGGTTTGGTCGCTCCTGTAAAATTGCATCACGCCATAAACAGGAGGGTGCTGTTTCTTCGGCATATCATATAATATGTTACAAACCGGTAACATCCATTGCTATGAGGATGACAGTACTGGCGATGCTTTATAGACCGGCCGTGCCAATATTTCTCGAGAAATCGTCGCCGAGTACCCGAACGAACATTTGTCTGAAGTCGAAACTTTATTGAACAAAGTCTCGGATTAGGGGCAAATAAATCTAGTCCAGTTCAACCCGCCGAAGAGACAAGTTAGCACGTCCACCGCTAAAAAATCCCTTTTGTCGTATTTCCTCACTTTCAGGGCACTACCCTTGTTACCTCAGGCAGTATAGGAATCCTAGACATTCTTGGTAGACACATCGAAATTCTTGGTCGACATATCGAATGACGTGCAGTTTCGTGATCGCTTAGAAGAGAAGGCCAAATTGGCCTCTAAAAAGCTTGGCGTGCTCAGTAGAGCGGGATAGTATTTCATGCTGGCACACTGTGTATAACTTTACAAGGACAGGTTAGGTCTCACATGGAATACTGTTCCCATTTCTGGGCAGGGGCTTTCCAGTGCCACCTCGTTCCATTTGATCGCACCCAGCGCAAATCGGTTCGAATCGTCGGCGACAAAGCTCTTTTAGATCGACTTGACTCACTGGCATTGCGAAGAGATGTCACATCTCTTTGCGTATTTTATCGCTAGCGCGGGAAGCGCTCTGAGGAATTGTTAGGACTAATTCCAGCCGCTCAATTTCACAATCGCACATAGCGACAAAACTCGCGATACCACCCATACCATCTGGATGATTGACGGTCCACTGTGCAATATACAAAAAGTTTTTTCCTTGCACAACTTTCTTGTGGAATCTACTATCACCAGTGATTTTTCCGGACCGATGCGATTTAGGTACCTTCAATAAAATAGCCTACTCTTTTTTAAAAGGCCGGCAACCTGCGATTCTTCTGGTGTTGCAGTTGTTCATGGGCGGCAGTCGACACTTACCATCAGGTGAACCGCATGCTCGTTTGTCCCAACTTCTATTATAAAATCTATATTTTTACGCGCTATGTTGTAAAAATTTGCAACTAGCCCACCGACAGGCCGCACGCTCGCTCACACAACGCGGTGGCGGAGAGCGCGGGGCGTGTGGCCGCGGCCAGCCGCTCGCAGGCCGCCACGTGACCAGACTCACTTACATTGTTGTAAGCGCATACAACTGGCCGCCACCGTAAGCCGCTTGTGTGTGGGGATGTGGGGTTTTAAGCACATTTCTATCTTTTAGTATAGATTTTGTACATGCTGCCCCACCTCAAAATGCCACCTTGTACACAAAATGATTATCGAAACTAAGGAAATAACATACCTTCCTTTTAAATCTATTGATGTAAGTACACCATCACCTCCTGCACAAACTAAATATTTCTGGGCATCATTTGTAATCATGTCAGAAACATATTCCTCGCCAATTTTGATACTGAATACAGGGTCAGATTTTCTCAAATCCCACAACTTAACTATGCCTCCATCATCACCTAGAATAAAAAATTAAAAATGTTTAAAAAAAAAGTTTTTTTGGGAAAACTTTCTCTAGGTACTAATCCAGATTTCTCAGCCATTTCAAATCCTTGAAAAATATATCAGCAGAAGAACAAGTGTAACTGATATAGCCTAACTAGGTTAGTGATCTAGTGGCAATGCTCCGGCCATATACCTAGGTCAAGAACACTTGTTTCTATTCTATAATTTTGTTCCTATTTCTTTTATTTTTTTTTCTGGACATTTACAGTCCAGTCAAGCTAGCTCAAAAAAATAGGGGTTAGGTAACAATAATTCGCATAGAGCTAAAAATTGGTACAAATGTTAAAAAAATCATTACAAATGAAATGTGAAAATATCACACATACAAACACACACACACATCTGAAAAAAATTTTCAAGATCAAAGTTCACAAATATTGTTTCTTTTGCATTTTTCAGCTAAGCGGTAAGTTTTATCATAAAAATTAGTCCGACAATATGTCGTGCAATTATCTATAAAAACTGTTCATACCCTTTTTTCCCTAAGAATCACCATTTCAGAGACATAACGATTCAAAAAATTGAAAAAGTTGTTTCTTCATAACATGCATATCAATTGCCTTTATATACATCTCTGAGCCGTATACAATACAATACAATACAGAGTGCTAAACCTATTCTACTGCAGAAAGGTGTAAGATAGGGTTACTTCTAAAGACCCCAAACTTTGGGTGCCCTTGTTAAGTGGCGCTGTGGTCGAGCTATTAATAAATTTTATATTTACACTGTAAAAGGTCCGAAGTGAATTCAGAGTAAATTCGAAGTGAAACTGATCGCATCACCTACCAGCAAGAAAATGATATGTCTGCTAGACAAGCTAGTATAAAATATAATATAATTTATATCTAACTTACCCGTTACAAATTTGTTGCTCCCCAAACAATGTAGGCTATAAACTGGTTCTTCATGAGCATTTTCATAACACTGTTTTAATTTTCCTGTTTCAACATCTGTAGCTATAATAGCTTTGTCCTGAAATTTGTCAAGTTGTCTTGGTGAATTAAAGAATAAAACAAAAACATACATACTTAGTATATGTAAAAGTTATGTCATCTCTATTGTTGTCTGTCTATCAATAGTATTATTAATTTTTTTCCTTACCACTTCGATAATTAGGAACTTAAGCAAGACGACTGTTGTGTTTTTTTAAGCTACAGTCATTATTCATTAAACATTACATACTGCAATGGTTAATGAATAATGACTACATTTAAATGGCGTTTAAAAGTACCTAAAATATCTTTAAGTAAACACTAAATCTAAGCACTAGTTTCTAGAATTTGTTAAAAGGTACAATTGTTTTTAGTTGCTGGGTAACTGTTGGGTTGCCATCTGACTGAATAAATCCGGTCTTGACCGGATTTTAAGAGCTTGGACTCCATTAGGGTTTCAATTTAGATCGAACTTTTACTAGCTGGCTAACTTGTAGTTCTACAGATAGCGTGAACAGTATTTTTATTTAAATTGCAGTGAGAAACAAAATTTACAGTCCCTCCTGATGGTAAGTGGCTACTGCAGCCCGTGGATACCAGAGACCATCTTTAAATCTAAAGAATGCTACAGTTAACACCGCTGAAGACTAAAATTGAATGCCACATAGCCTGTTATATATTATAATGGCTCTCTATACCCTTCACACTGTGACGTGTCACGCTGTTAGGCAGCAGAAATAGGATGTACCTACCCAGAAGGACTCCACGACAGGAAAGGGGTAAAATTGACACAATACAACTTCAAACACATTACTCAAGGAAAATTTAGCAAGTGAAGAAACCAACTTTTCATAAGTTGAAATAAAATTTATTAAGTTTTAGTGGCAGTAAGCCAGCTGGCTATTACCAAGAATCAGGATTTTTAACCACCTGCAACTGGATCCCAAATCCCATTCCATAAAATATTCTCATAAACTATGTATAAATAATTTTAGAATTTTGTACTAGGTTCCCAATAAGATAAGCATTATTATATTCAGAGATATTACATTTTTGTTTTCATTGTACTGTAATTTAATATTTACGATACAATGTAAGCATAGCAAACGTTAGCAAAGATGAGTAGAAGTACATTCATTAAATGTTTAAGTCTACTCAAACATATCAACAAAATATCAAGGTCTTTATAGTGTCAACTGTCAACCAATAGGGATAATAACATTGATCAAATAGCATTAATAAACATTATGCTATAAATAAAAAATACCATGAAATCCAACTTATTTTTTCCAAATAAAATATTAAATATCTGCCTTCTTTTAAGTTGAATGGGTTATTTGAACGCTTTTAAGACATTTTTGTCTGACTGTTGAAGCTAATCCCATTGTGATGAAATTCCACAAATAGATTGCGAGCAATTAACAACAAACGCAGAGAATAAAACATTTTTGGTGAAGTCAAGAAGCTTATCAAATTAATGAAAAATGAAATGGATATTTTGAAATTACAAGCAGATGAAGAAGCGGGTAAAAGCTAGTTTTAAATAAATGTAAAGAGAAAACATTAAATAGCACAATTCTGACTTTATAAGATTTATCCTGACATTATATTGGAAAATGTATCCTCAAGAAGGATAATATCTCCTATATAAAAATTATATAAACACCGACATAAAAAAGTGAGAAGTGTTTTAGTTGCTAATTTTGATACAGGTAAAAAGCTAAAATTTATAGTAAAACTTACTTTTCCTGCTGTGAACATAATATCCCCCTCATCATTAAATTCCACATCTCTACATGCTTTAACATGTAATTCTAATGTGTTTAATAATTTTGTTTCTTCATTATTATATTCATACATTAACACATCACCCATTATATTTGCTAATGCAATTAAATTCTTTGCAGGACTGAAAGAAATATCTACAATAAAGTCTTCACAAATAATTGCAGGTGGGTGATCTCTTGGTTTAGATTTTTCAGCTTTTATGGCTTTAATTACTTCATCCTCATCTTCGTCTTGATCAACTTCAATATTAGACGGACCACTCTCAGGCTCATTATCAGATTCATCATTATTTTCACTGTCAATGCCATCTATAACAATTTAATACAAACTGTAAACATAATTTTTATTATTTAGTTTTTTTAAAGTTGAGTTTTCAGAGTTATTTATTTTCTTTATTTTATCATTAGTTCTTCATTCTATCAAAATTAATGCAATGTAAACTATTCAGCTAAGCAAAGCAATTTTACTATGCTTAAAATGTATGTAGTACCTAATACAGAGGCGTAGCGTGGACTAATATAGACATGGGCAAAGTCGCATCAGTGAGGCCCATTTTATTTCGTTCCCAAAATCTACCCAATAGATCTATCCTAACAAACATGCTTTGACACAACATACCTACTCATAGCTATTAATTCCTGACAAGTCTCGTATTTCGTCAATCTAATGGTCGCAGTCTTTGAAGATAGTTACAAAGGCATCGCAGTCGCACTTAAGAGGGGCTTCTTGTGAGGCCCCAAATAAACACGCTTTTAAATTTGTAAAAATCGTAAAGTGATCAAATTAATTAGTCATCCGTGGTAAAGTCTGGGGGCTTTTAAGTGCGAGGCCATGGGCGAGGGCCCACTGCGCTCCTGCCTAGCTACACCATTGACCTAATATATATGATTAAGGTCAGTTTAAGAGCTAATTTTTAAATCATCAGGTAAAAATTATACATAGGTTAAAATACAACATAAACATACTATAAATTACAGCTGTATGAACAAAATACTTTGTTTTACTTGCGGTGATTAGTCGCATGTTTTATCGCATGACGCAGTCGCTCGCTCCTTAAGTAGAGAGTGGTTGCGTCAGCGGTCTGTATAAATAGTTGTTTTGGCTCGCCGCTCACTTAGCGGTTAGCCACCGTAGAGTCTATATCACCTGAGGATGCCTCGTGTAGAGGCGAAACACGTGTCGTATTGTCATCAGTGGTGTTTCTTGCCTAGTGTAGTGGTGTTGGGAGTAGCGGTGCTGAGATTAGTGGTGACGGGGATAGTGCACGCAATTGAGGGAGGGCGGGAGGTGCTCTTCATACTAGGTAAGACACATCATTTTATTTTATAACGTGGATGTTTACGAAGTAAATTTTTCTAAAAGCTTTTATATAATGGATTTCCACAAAGTAATGCCTGATTCTATTAATTATAGTAAAACAATTATCGATACCAATCTAAATATGCACTTAAACATTTGCATAATGCAATAAAATATGTGTATGAAAACTATTTAACACTTTCACTGTCCAGGTACCGCATGTGGGACCCGGACGTATATCACTACACGTCCCGGTCTCACATGTGGTACCCGACTAGTATAGTATTTCATACAAGAAAATATCCTTAGACTCTATGGAAAGGATCATTATCAAGAGGTGAACTTGTAGGGCTTGAAATTAATGAACTAAAAATCTTGTGTACCTCCAAATATCTTTATTTTTGACCAAGTTATGATAAAAACAAAACAGTAAATGAAATAAAGAAAATGAACATAGAATATGAGTTTTATATTATGACCTAACCTAAATGAAATTTAGCAAAACATGCCAAACAGATTGGTTTCTCACATTGTTTACAAATATGGTCAACTTTTTTGGCTTTTGATTTTGCTTGAGCAACTGTCAGTCCCAATTTTCGCTGTTCATCGTAACACAGTGAGCACTGTCTCTTTATAATTTTTTTGTCGTCCTTACGAGGTATTTTCTCAAGATAATGATTTGTGGTTCTTCGTGACGGTGGTATCGATATTATGGACGATGATGACGGACGATGAATGGAGGAAGTGTCCTCTTCTAAATTCAAAAATAGTCGTACAATACGTAATTTAGCTTGAAGTATAGTAATTTTTCTTTACGTATAGCAGTTGGACGTAGTTTGTTATAAACCACAACACTGTTTGTAATTGCTACGCCGAAAATCATGTCGATTGCAATTTTTTTATACCATATCAATGACTTTCTTATTGGTGATTGATAACTGCATAACTGGTCCGAGAAATCAATGCCCTTTTTTTTAAGATATATTCTCAAATTTGGGTTTTGATTTAGGATTTCTTTGTCTAGTCATACACATTTCATCACTATGACAGGTGGAAACCATAAGAACGTCTGTTTTATCCTTCCATTTGCTGACGGTAACATTTTCTTTTTGGCTTTCACATATTCCGGTAGATGTTTTCTATTTTTTCTTAGAGTGCTAGAAAGATCAGTTTGATTAGCTAAAAGATATGTCGCTAGAGGAAAACTAGTAAAAATTGTCTGCGACAGTCAAACGATCAGCACCAAGTAAATCACGACATAATTTCACAACGATACTGCCAGGCTTATCCAAATTCTCTATTGTTTCGTCGGTGCCGCAATATAACTCATACTTCCAAGTATAGCCATCTGCAGTACATAACTTATAAATTTTTATTCCGTATTTATTAATTTTGGATGGATTGTATTGTCTAAATAGAAGACGTCCTTTGAAGGGTACCATGGACTCATCAATTATAACACAATCGCCAGGAGTAAGCAGTTGTTGAGATTTGTTTACGATTTTATCAACAAAGGGCTGTACTTTGTATAATTTGGATCTCGTGGGGCTGATTTATCAGCAAAATGCCAGCATCTAAGCATTAGAGTAAATGTATTATAGGACATGCCTAGTTTGTGCATGAGTGGATGGTAATAAATTGGATCCTTTTTCCAATAGCATTCCAGGGTCGGCTTCACAATACCGGTGTAAAGAATAATTCCTAGAAATTTTTTCATCATTTTCCAATCCACGTCTTTCCATCTAGCAAGTCTACCAGCGTCCGAACTAATTTGCGCTGCATATATATCTGTTTGTTCCACCATCATATCCAAAAACTCGTCGTCTATGATATAACAAAAAATAGACTCCACAGTGGAATGACTTTCAACATCGAGGCCTAAACGTTCTTCAACAGTAAATGGTAAACGTTGTAGATCATGAACGGTATAACTCCATTTGTTGTTCATATCTTTAGTTTTCAAATGTTCATGTGGATCACTTCGAAGGCTATTTTGAGAAGAAAGTTCACTTACTGAAACTGCAGACACCGACGGCACCTGATTTTCGATGGGATTTGGTGACTGTGCAATATTCATAGGAATGTCGTCAAAATATCTCTGGTCTGAATCTTTTTGCGGTAAAAATAATTCCTCATCAACGTGCATTCGTTGGGGCTGACTATATTAAATGAATCTATTTGTATTTTCCAATGTTTCATTATCAGAACTTCCTGAATCATGTCGATTATCTTGAGACACTTCATAATCAGGATCATCTTCATCACTAGCGTGGAATGGATCTAATGACGAATCGCTGTAATAATCTAATTCTTCGTCACTGTTTTCTAAATAAAGTAAAATATCTTCGTCATTTGTTCTGCAAGACATCTTTCGTTTTTATTTAAACAATAAAATGGGTCACATGTGGGACCTCAGACTCCTGATGCTAATTACTCGTCCCAATCAGCCCAGGGAGTTCAGGGATCCACATGCAGTACCCAGCACATACTATATATAATTGCTTAGACGTTGCGGGAAATTTGTAATAACTGCTTGGACAGTGAAAGTGTTAATGATATCATTTTTTCATATCCTAAAATAGGTATTTTTAGATTCGAAAACTACCACAAAACCGAATCAGTCTACTATGATTCCATGTAATCTTGTCTCTTCTACCCCTGATGTCTGAAGCCTGTTAGGCCAATGGTGTGAAAAGACATAACTCACTTTTACCCTCGACTTTGTCCATATTAACTTTAAACCAAAAAATAAAGCAGACCTATATTTTTTTGGTTTATTAAAACAATGTTTGGTCAAAGTAATTCTACTTGTACCTTATAACCTTATATCAAATCATGTCTATGTATTGCATTTAAATATCTGATATTTAATCTATGTATTTCAATATCTATGTATTGGTTAATATTCTATGTGATTTTGTAACATTGTAAGTTACTCAGTACTAAACTGTGATATGTGTTTTTTGTTGAATTTGGTTTGCTTAGATATAACAATATATAATAATATTATCTAAGTATGTTTATATGTATTGATTAATATCGTAAATAGTAGACATATCTGTTTTATTCAATTATAATAACTTACAGAGTCATGGTTTGTTTGAAGATCGATTCCGATGTTAGATGTTCTCAAAGTGTACATAAATCACTTATTCTGTCAAGTGACACTGCACTGCTACGGTACTAATACACAGTTACCCTTTCGCTCGATATATAATTATTACATATTGTACCGATATATACATATTGTGTACTATTTGTATCACCCGATTTTAAATTAAAAAGGACTGGCCTAGCCTAGCACTAACCAATAGTAAGTACTCTATTTACCGCATTCTTTTTGAAGGTTTTTCAAAAATTCTCTTTTTAATACTTTCTTAATTATAAAGTCCAAGTTTTAAGTAAAAAATATTAATTGTTTATAATTGATAATGTATGTCAAATCTACCATGCCATGCCAACATTTAGGATTTTTTAATAATTATAACTAACCTATATCTACATCGTTTTCGTCACTGAAATCAGTTTCACTATCATCTGACGAATCTTTATCAAATTCACGGAAGTCAATGGCCATTTTAACTTAATTTGTCTTATTTAAACATAATAAAAGTTTGGTTACTGGGTTATTTTATCCTTGTTGACAACAAAATGAAAGGTTGACATGTGACATTCTTCTTAATAACTGGCTTTACGGCTCTGGGATCTAGCCCTTCTGAGCCTGAAGTTACAATATATTGTAATAATTATTCTTCATAGTATACTGCTTCACAAAGATGCAAATTTGAGCCAACAGACAGCTGACAGTTGGTTATTTTGAGAATCACGTCAACATCAGAGCACTTGTGTCACAGTTTCGACTAATAGTTCACATGCGCAGACACTTAATACACAAAATCGCACCACTTTTACATATCAAAGTCCACTTCAAACCATTATTTAAACAAGAATACAGGAGCAGCAAACCGCCGCCGGTCAAGTTCCCGCCAAAACTCTGACAAGTGACAGCAGCAGCAAACAGAACAGATGAACAGAACACTATACACTACACAGAACCAGTGTTGCCAACAGTTAAACTAGCTCTCCATCTTCATGAGATTCAACTTCTAAAACCTGTCTACCTTAAAACTTATAACTACTCTCATAATCCCTAAATCCACTAAACAAATTTTTGTTTATTACAACAGAAAACAATAGGTATTAGTAATTGGTTACCTTTATTATTACATACTGTGTAACAAAATATTAAATTTTTATATAAATAACCAATCATTTTTTTACCTTTTATACGTGGTAGAGCCATGCTGCATCTACATATATTATGGTTGTAGCACGAATGGGTCGGCTCGACCGGGGAAGGACCACGCTCTCACAGAATACCAGCGTAAAATAGCAGCTTAACGCTGCTGTGTTTCGTATGGTGAGTGTAGAGAACCGGAGACCCTTTTTACTGGAAACGAGGCGTTCCATCTTAGTCCTCACGGGTGACAACGCATCTGCATTTTGACTTAATCGAAGATAGATGTAGGTGTCTATGGGCCACAGCGACCACTTACCATCAGGTGGACTGTGTGCTCGTTTGTCACCCTTATCCTATAAAAAAAAATCAATCAATAAAATAGTAAATCCACAGTTCAATGAGGGCTAATAATCTTCCACTCACCAGATGTCGCTAGTTGTGACTGAGGTAAAGTTCTTTTTACACAATGTCAGTTAATTTAGAAATTAATTTTAAATAATAGTTTATCATTATCTAGATCCTTATATTAATATACAATACAATGCGTCAGTGGTTTGATTTTTAATTTTATGCACTTTATAACTCTTTTTTTTTAAATCGGCTGTTAATTATATTTTTATAGTTTGGTTTATTCATTTCTAATGTAATTAATATAAAATATAACTAATAATACAGAAAGAAACGTTAAAAATTACATTTTCCTAAGAAATTATCGTACCCGCTATGAAATCTGACAAATATTTTACCTCACTGTAAAGTGGCGCCGCCCTGGTGGCAAAAAAAGTCGTGGATGCCCTCATTAACCAATAATATAAGATGGGATGCGCATTAGGTTAGCAATGAGTGCCAACGTTGAGGGCCGCGGGTTCAAAACCCGCACGGAACAAGTTTTGTATAGCTTACAAATAATTGTTTCAGGTCTGGATTTTTGTCCTTGTAAAATTTATGTACATAAGTAAGCTGTTCCTGCAGAACATTATAGTGTAGAGGTAACATTAATTAAAAAACGAAAAAAGAAATATATTATTTGATCAAGTACTATACTACATACAAGTACTATACTATTACTATTTTAAATTAAATCGTCATCTTCAGATGAATCATTTTTATCGGCACCATCATCATCGGTTTCCATGATCATCCTTACCAAATAGTTTGCATTTCGTAACTTGACCCGTAATACTTTCAATCACTTGGAGCCAGTCCTTTAAATGTGCGTCTTGAAGCTAAGAATCCCGAAACTTTTGCTTAAACTGTAGTTTCAGCATAGTGGCGTGGGAAATATGTACACGGATATTAGTGAGCTACTACTATAATATATGGTACGAGGAATCCCAGCGAATAATGTAGCCACCAAAGTGGATCGTTTGACGTCACGTCACGTCATGTCTGACGAATAAGTATTGTCTTCACTTTACTTTTAGCAAAAACTCCTAAATCCTAATATAACGTAGAAATATATTTCGAAACATATAGGTGGCTTAATGGTTGAGAGTTGAACCACTAGAAAAAACCACCAGCAAATAATAGGAATATTTCTCAACTAGAAGAGGTATGTAAACCACCAGTTTTAGTGGAAAGTCTACTAAGTTACTAAGTAACAGAAAAGTATGGAATACTTTTTTGATGCTTGTTCTTTAAGCTCTTGGTAGAGAGTAATTGTGTTCTGTGACTTTAAGCCATGTCTTCATTTCATCAGGTCCTAGTCTGTGGTAATATTGGATCTTTCTTATGGATCTTTATTTTTTATAGATTTTCAGTATCAAGTGATAGTAATAATTTATTGTACACTGCTTCACAATATGTTGATGCGCCACTTTGCATAGTTTTTGCGAGATTTTGACGGCAACTTGAGCCAGCAGGTAGTCGGCGATAGTATCTCAACCTACTACTAGCGCCTAAGCAGACAGACACACCTACTCTAAATCATAGGTAATCTTGCTCGGCCTATATCAATATTTAATGTTATTAGGAAGAGCGGTGCCTCCTGACACAAGTATTCTTTTATACTTACTGGAAGGCTTTATTATTTTAAGCCAATGCCATAAAAAAATTTTAGGCCAATTACTTTATTATTTAATATGCCTTGAGAAAGAAATAAATGGATTTTTTATTTAATTTAATTTAATTTATTTTAATTGTTTTCATTGTGTGTGAAACGGCGTCTGTGGTCTTGGATCTGATTCATATATGTATGTACCAGATGAAGATGAGAAGCCCAAAGTACTATTACGTCCTATCATGTTGTACGATTTTGATGTAATTTTTGGTGTGCGTTTGAGTGGGGTCCCTGGATGTTTTAGATTTACAATTGGACCCGGTAGTTGGCGCTGTTGTTCACATCCAGAAATCACCTGTGCAAAGCCGTGGCGGTTTGCTTGTAAATAAATAAATAAACGCCACTTAAATTGCGACGAACCTCGACAGTCTTTTTAAAAACACAATTTAAAGTATAAAATGATTTAATGTTCTTTCAAAGGTGGTTAGTTACAGAATGCCTCCATATTAAATGTTAATAAAATAAGTCTAGTACAATTATCATATCGTCTTACATTACTTTAGAATTATCACTCGAGTTCTCACGCATGTGCTGATGTGGCTGTTTGGAATATTGAGCCAGGGACGGATTGAGGCGATATAACTCCTCCCTCCACAAGTTCGGGATTATCCTCGGGATTATCACGAATTTTACAGATTTTACAAATTTCAATTAATTTATGTTTAACAATTATACTTAAAATAATTAATATAATAACTAAAATAATAATATTAACTAAACTAACACTTTTATTAGTAATTTCACTTTTTGCATTTTCACTTAACTCACTGTCACTAATTTCTCCCATACTTTTCTGCAGTAATAGATTCAGGAACTGTACGTCTGCTATATTAATTCCATCGAGATTCACAGGCTTCTTCAGAGTGCTTGACGGTTTGAGTATTATCTTTGGTAGGTTTATTAATGGCTGCCTTAGGGAGGTTATTTCTTTACCTTGAGTCTGATGTCTTTTCAGTTCGTATCCTTTGATTTTCACCTTGCAGTTATCATCCATAGTTAAGAGGTAGGTTCCTAGTAGAATCTCTTGGCTAACTTCATTGTCGCAGAATTTAGTCATAGCTGTTTCAGTATTTGAGTAAACTATCCAGCGATTTGGTTGTATGAGGTAGATCTTCACATTTTCTAGGGTGACAGGGATCGGGTGACAACTTGAGATATTTGTGTGAAACTGCATGATTTCTACGACACAGTTGTCATTGGTGAAGAGTTGTATGTCGTTCTCATGACACAGGAATCGGCGTTCGTCGACCTCGCGACATGACTGAGAGAGCGGTGTTGCTTTCAACCCTTTCACAAGTAGGTACGGATTTTTAGGTAGGATGAGAGTCGTCTGGCCATTATGTAATACAGGTAAGGGAACTAATTTATAATAGTTAAAAATTTCATTTCTAATAAGTGGAATACTCATAATAAACTTTATCTGATTCTGTTTAATATAGGCTTTTATCTCGATACATCTTTCTAATTTTACAATATTTTCATAAGTGACAGGAAACACTAATTTGTCAGTTTGTTCTATTTCCTTAAGCAATATTATAAGTTCTTCTGTATCAATTATTGACTGGTGTAGTACATTAATTTTACTAAAAGCAATGGCTGTTTCGATTTCACTCAAATGGAAATATAAATTATGAAAATTATCAAGGAAGATATTATAAAGGTGAATGAGTTTGGTAACCGTCTGTCGAAAATCGGAGTTGTTTAAAGCTTGATTAATGTTTTGAATATTATCTTCTAATCGTATAAAATTGCTTTTAGTAGAATTTGCCATGGCTGTAAATGAGCCCACCATTTCGGAAACTATTGTCATTTTATTTTTAATCACGTTTTGTTCGGTATGTAGCTTATTTATTAATCTTTCATACCTAAGAGCGTCATTATTATCTAAGTTACCTGTGATGGCTTTTATCAAAGAGCCTACCGGATCGAGGAGACCTCTTTTGGTTCGTAATGGAGGAATTAATTGTTTAAATTTGTCGATGGTAATATTCATAGTATAATCGGTTTGATGTTGGACGGTAGTAAAATCTGAATCAAATGATTTAGTATCGAAACAACTTTGAACATGCTTTTTAAGTAACCCATATTTATTCATACTTGATTCTAATTCATCGTAAATTAAATTTAAATCTAATATCTTAATAACTATCCAGTTATCATAATTAACAAATGCTTGACCTTCGTCAACAGGTAACAATCCCGGATTCTTGTCAATGCGAAGCTGATGAAGGGCCTGGCTTCCCATTGTTCGGATCACCAGTAGAAATAATCTGCGAAG